ATTACTAAAACTGGAATCCTGACGAGCAACTTTGGTCCAATAAAATTTATAACATGTTCGAAGTCTGTGGGGGATTTTCTTTTAAAACATTTCCTTTTAAACATTTAGATTTAGGCTGCTACTCAAATCTGGTAATAAAAAACATTTTAAACCCTCCATATATGTATACAGTTATATCACCGTTGAAGCTTTCGAGTGTTATACATATATTTATTATTATTATGAAATTTTTAACAATTGTAATTTTAATCTGTTTTGTGACTTGTTGTTTAAATCAATGAAGATGTATTAATATCTTTAATACTTCCAAATTGGTCAAATTTTAATATTAACCTCAAATCAATTCCTGAAGAGAATAAAAAATTCTTGAAAGTTTGAGAAAAAATGAAAAGTACTTGTATTTTCCAAGACTACATCGCCCAGTTATAGAGGCTAAATTTTAGTTCGTAGCTAGCTAGTAGCAAAAAGGTACTTATGGGCCGATTTAATTCGTTTTTTTTTGTTTAAGATAGAGTTCAAAAAAGTTATTAAATCACATATGATTTGAGTTTATTTTCAGTTATCCTACTTTTATCTTTATTTCTTTTTTTAGATGAAAAATTTGACAAAAATTGGCTAGCGATTTTTGTCTTTAAAATCTAACTACACCACTGCATTTTGTACCCTCTCAATGAAATTTGTACCAAATTCTGAGAAAAATATGTAATTCCTCATCGTAAAATTAATATTAAGTTTTATCATTGCTATTCTTCTTCTTCATAAACGGAGTAATAGGAATAACGGATAAATTAAATAAACAAAATAAAATGTCTACTAATGTGCGATTCCAAGTTAAACCTTTGATATTAATTTTATAGTGCGCAACTAATATTTTTTCATGAAATATGATGGTACAAACAAAATTGGGAAAATGCAGAGTCCAGTGGCGTAGTGAGATATAAATAATTTGCTAACCAATTTTTATAAAATTTTACACAGAAAAAAAAATAAAAAGCAGGTTTAATTTAATTTAAAAAATTGATCGATCTAAATTAAATCGATGATAGATAATTTTTCACAAGGGTGTTTCAATTTGAAATGGGTAACACTCGTACAATATTTTCTTTGCTTTTTGATGAATGACTACTACTGCGGCACCACACGAAATGAGACCTTCAGTACATTTTTATAGATTTGTCAGAACTATTCAACAAATATTTAACTTTTTAAAATTTCTACTAGTTTACTTTTATAAAACTTGACACTTAATAGTTTTGAAAATATAGAAATTCTAAATATCATTTCTAGGATATTCTTCCAACAATACTCTTTCTTGAATTTTTGAACTGTTAATTTTTGCTTTGCTTACATTTATATGCTTAGTATGCAGCATTATGGTAGCAGATAATAAGTACCAACAAAAGTGCCACGTCATACTAACATCATTAATTTTCAAATTGGATAAATTATCGACTTACATGGGTATATTAGTAACATATGGTTATTTATTTTAATGTGAAATCTTCATGTTAACTAACATGCCGAAACATTGTTCGAGAACAATTTGGTTAGAACATTTCTAAATTAGCTAACAGCTAGTGTGGACTCGGGCTATGGAAGAATAGAATAGTTAAAAAATATGGTCATGATATTCTAATTAACATGGCATTTGTCTGTAGTAATTTCCGAAAATGTGGATTAAATATTCTTACGGTGGTCTTAGACCTGTGTTAAATTGCATTTCAGGTGAAGTGGTAGTAAATCATGGTGATTCTTTGCATAGTGCATGCCTTCTTTTTACAATTCAAAGCATGTTTAAAGTAACCGATGAAAGGTAAGTTCGTAGCATAGTGCAAGGAATAGTTTTGCTTGAAATACCCCTTGATTTTCTGTATGCGAATCCACTACCAGTGCTCGGATAGGTGTTACTGTTAAAATAATAAATGATAAGCCTCAGAACTAAACCACATATTGTTCGTTTGAAAGTTTATGGTTATTGATCTTATTATTTTATTTAAGGTGCTGGGTACATAGATTTTATTAGCGAATCACAATTACTTTTACAATTTTAACACTTTTTGCTTACTTTACTGAAAGGTATCGCTTATGAACGCTTTTTTAAGTGAAGGCACCGCTTGGGATTGGCTTAAGGCATTTTCGGTTCAGCTCCCCTAGAATTGACAAAAGGCGAGGTTGCTTCTTAAAGTTTATTTATTGTTACTACACCGTTTGTTTATTACATTAATGTTCGTTTTGTTTATTTTACAGCGTATGCAGTACTTGTAGTTGTTCAGTGGATAACTCCTGTATAAAACCAGTAACCTAGTCTTCTATTTTTCTAGTTAGTTATATTTTAACATTATTTGACTCTTTCAGATCGCCATTTTATTATATCTTACGATCAATACTTCAATAAATTTGTTAGCAAAGTTTTTTGAAACTTGAAATAGGTAAAAAAAACAGTGCAAATAGCCTTTATTTTTTTGCCATACTAAATATTTTAAATACTACAGGGTAGGAAAGTACCGATGGTCTATCTGAAGTTACGTGAGAGCGATAAAGTAAGCCATAGAAATCCGTGCGTTAGAGAAAGATGGCTATAATGAAGGCGTCTCATAGTCACCGCCCGTTTCGCCCTTCCACAAATAAGATCCACTTCTTATTTGTGGAAGGGCGAAATGGGCGGTGACTATTAGACGCCTTCACTATACCCATCCTTGTCTATCACATGGATTTCTATGGCTTACTTTATCGCTCTCACGTAACTTCAGATAGACCATCGGTACTTTCCTACCCGGTATGTGTGATATTTCTAGAGAAAAAGGAAGTTTCCCTTCATAAATGTAGGTCCAAAAATGCTTAGTAAAAAATTAACAAGACTGATAAAGTGATAAAGATGCAAAAACACATTTTCTAAATAGCCATTTTCGGATACATGTTCAAATTGGATTTTTCGCTTAAAATGGTATCTGCTGTTTCAGTTTGGTATCATCAAATTTTATATCTTAAAAAAAATACTGGATTAAATTTTTGTTAGTTCATTCAAAACTATTGATGGTAATTATTTTCATTATACAGTGTGTTTTAACGAAAGCTTGACGATCCTTCTCTGGCTTTGTATGTATACAGGAGTATTCAAATACTTACCATTTTATCTACCTTGTCCTTTTTGGCGTTCTATCAATAAAAAAATGGAGACTGGAATTTTGAAAAATTTTCTTGTGATGTCAAAAACATATTTGAAAAACTAGTTTGTGTTTTCTTAATGGAGTACCCTGTGTATTTATCGTTTTTTTTTTTGGATCCTTTTTTTCTGATTACAATGATATACAGGGTGTTTGTAAATAAGTGCGAAATATTTTATATGGGTCGCCGAAGTTATTTTGTGAAAAAAAGTTCATATACACGTTGGACGAAATAAGCTTCGTTTCCGAGATACAGAATGTTTAAATTTAAAGTTTTTATTTATTTTTATTAATTATTTCAGTTTTAAAGATATTGACTCGAAATTTGAAAAAGCTTTTGAAGGGATAAATGTGCATTTTTGTGGGGTGATACGAACATTTTTACTTGCACCAGTGGTGTCCGTTCGAGAATGGAACTTTTTAAATAAAAAAAAATGGTACTCCACTGACTTTTTCCCGTTTTGATATTTTTTTAGAAAAACACCATTAATTCTGAATGAAATTGGTCACCTCAATTTTTTTCGTAGGGTACACCGTTTTTGAGGAAAAAAATAAAACATTTTATTGTCCTCCTATACCGAGGATATTTTTTTACAGAATTTGTACGGGGTGGTTCAAATTCGATATTTTCGGTGGTTTCTCTTATATGTCGAAAACATAGAAAACATTTTTATTAAGATGTCGTGAATGGAGAAAACCGCATTTCAATATATTAATTCGTTTGAGAGATACATTGTGTTCATTTTCAGCTGTTTTTCTGTAAAATCAAATAACTCTTTTTGTAAAACTCAATGACGTAGTGAAACTTTTTGTTCAGTTTTTTTAATGGAATTCAGTGGTGTAGGAACGTGATATTTTTGTATAACTTTAGGTTTTTTTTTGTTATAATCCAATGTAACACTACCTTATATATTTTTCAATTTTTGCTTTTTACATATTTATACTAATATTTAGATACATTTTTAAGATAAAAATGTAAAAAAATTGTTTATCTGTTTTATTATCTAATTTATGCAATTTTATCGTGGATATATCAGAAACAATCATGACTCAGTTCATTGTATAAAGCAACAATTTAATTACTTTTTGCAATTTTGCATTCAAAAATCGAAGATTTCCATACAATATTTGTCGAGATAGAATTCCCAGAAATGAATAAGCCAATAAAGTTCTGTTATCGGAACTACTGTAACAATTTACAGCTGCAGGGGCTTGCCTTTAAATTTTCCGCCAATGTCTTTCTACCTCTCGGGTATCGAATGCAGTTAATTCCAACAAATTCGTACGGATTGTATTAAGGTGTTACATTTAAAAAAATATACGTTTGAGTTACAATTAAAGAGTGGCGTTTTATTTTAGACTGTTCTCGTATATGTATGTCTACTACACTCTATCACAGAATATCCTGGATATTCTGTGACTCTATCCATAACCGTGCATATTTCTTGTCTGGGGATAAAAAAAATTTAAATGGAAATATGGGTCAAGTATATCTACTTGTTATTGTATGAAATGTATTTTCAGTCTTTACACAACCATATTTTTTAATTAGGAAAACGTTTTTTATAAATACTCTTTGCAAAGTTACAGGGTGGATCAAGTTTCTGTAAGAACACACTGAATTATTATTTCTAAAAAGAACTGATCGTTTTATTTATTTGAAGATGCATGTTAAAGGGTGCAATGTGTTTGACAACAGTAAGATATTATAAAAAATATATATACTCTATATATCAGCAAGAAGGTTACCGGTTTTATCCAAGAAAAAGTTGAACTAGTCTTAAACAAAACCCCGTGCCTTATTCCGATAGAGTATGTGTAATTATAATGTTGCAGTTTCTGAATATGGCCAGCGTGTTCATGAGGATATTCAATTTGATTTGTATGATGCTTCTGATTGGTCACTGGTCCGGCTGTTTGCAGTTTTTGGTGCCCATGCTTCAGGGATTCCCGGCTAATTCTTGGGTTGCAATCAACGAATTACAGGTAACAGCGGTAGCTGGTAGCAACACGAATAACTACCTATGTTCACTTATAATATTTTAGTGTTTACTAGTAGTTTTAAATTATCTTCCTCAATATTTGGGTCCCGAATTTTTCCGCGAAAATTTCAAACATTCTGTATTAAAAAAGCTGATTTCCGCATTTTCTCCTATATTTATTTATTGGACAGGAAAGTTTTTCTTAAGAAGCGGGATATAGCTTTAAGGGAAATTCCCGAGTACAAAATACTAAAGCTTAATGTTGCTCCTTTTCAATCTAGTGTTGAGATTAAATAAAATCGAATTTTGACAATATCTTCAAAATCGTCATTGCATAACTAAGTTGAAAATTTCGTATGGGAATTTAAAAAATTATTTATTTTAGGCTCATATCGTTTAGATTAGATGACGTTAACCCTATTGTCGATACAAAATATGATCTAATAAACTTTTTATTTTTTTACATTTCCATAATTTGGACAAAAAATAATAAATGGAAAGCCGCTAATTCAGATAATTTAGAAAACATTAAATTGTTAAGCAAAACTTGAAATATAATGTCAATTAAGAATAAGCAAACATAAAATTTTATTATCAGGTTAAAAAAATCAGTTATTTTAATACTGAAATACTTCCTGATAGAGACTTAAACTGGTGGTTTTGCTGTTACAGATATAATTTATTAAATATTTCATCTTAAATTTTGAATCTTATAATTGAACCAACTTTGAATTAAGGTGAATTTGGGCTAATGATCATATTTGCCTCTTAAGATCGATAGTATTTGTGCCCATTTAAGGTTTAATTTAATTTAGATGTTTGTATGATAAAAATAAGCACTCTCTATCTATAAAGCACAAAATTAATGTTTTTTTCAAATGACACCTAAAAAAACATGTCAATTCCCTGAAATTTTCAACATGACTGGGTCCTGGCATACTGACAATCGTTTTTTTTAAATTTTATCATCACTGCTCTTTTGGTATCATGAATATCCCATTAAGCTGTGTCCCATTCTTATCATATTATATATTTTTTTTAATTAAGAACTGACGAAATATGTAACAAATAACTTTCGTTTCAATAAAACTACATACTAACTTTTCCTTGGGATTGTTCCATTTTAGATAGGCAGTTGAAAAGCTCACATGAAAGTTACCCATCATTTTTCAGATTCCAGAGTAATGAGAATCATATTTTTAACTAATTATCTGCCTGTAATTTATTTTAGGAAGCCTTCTGGTTGGAACAATACTCGTGGGCATTATTTAAAGCGATGTCCCACATGCTTTGCATAGGTTATGGAAGGTTTCCGCCCCAATCATTAACAGACATGTGGCTGACAATGCTGTCCATGATATCCGGAGCCACATGCTACGCTCTGTTCTTGGGTCACGCGACAAATTTGATCCAGAGCTTGGATTCCTCTCGAAGGCAATACCGTGAAAAGGTAAAAACGGTTCCACTGGCTGCGGTTTTGTGTTCATCTTGTATACACAGGGTGATTTGTGGCAGGGCAGCAAAATTTGAAGCGAGAGGTCTCATAGCAAAAGAAGAAAATTGGGGGATTGTATCGAGGTTAATTGTTGTAATGTGGAAAATTTTATTTTAAAATAGTTTTTTTCTATGTTGGCGTGAATAGTGTATAAAAAAGTGGACATCATAGTTAATGTTTTTGCAACCGTGTATATAGAGTTAAATAACAATAACATTCTTTAAAAGCTATGCTACATTATTTTCATCCTGTTTTTTTTGTTCTTTTATTGTGAGCAGACCCTTGAATTTTTTGCCCTATTTATAAATCATCTGTGTAATAGTATTGTAATAGCATGTGTAAATATTATGTGGATTATTTTTTATACAACTTTAACGGAATGATAAGTGTTTATTCAAAGTGTGAGATTGTCTGACATTGTGATAATTTGATGTTGCTTGAAATTGGCATGAAATTTCTGGAAGCCAAGATTGTGAGTTTTCTTCTTTAGAGCTTCTTTCATTTTTTCTACATACCTTCCATCTATTGCCTAATATCACATCTATCTAATGTGTGTCATAATTACTTAAACTGACTCAAATGTAGTTCAAAATTAAAAAATAAACTTGCAAGGCATCTTCAAGATGCATGTGTCGGCTTGTATAGGTAAATGTGAAGTATATTACTTGGCCTTTTTTGTAGATATAATTAAAGGTATGTATTACTACTGACTTTCTCTTACTTTCTCGATCTTCTTAAGGTATTGCACAATTCACCATTCAGAATCTCACTGGTCTTTTCTGCATTCCTCAAATGTGTCATTCCGTTAAAGCGTAGATATTTATATTTGGTTAGAACTGCAGCCCGGGCCCAGAATAAAATTTTATGCACATTACGTATCTGCACCAAATAGGTAAAGCAAGTAGAGGAGTACATGGCTTATCGAAAATTACCACGAGAGATGCGGCAGAGAATAACGGAGTACTTCGAGCATCGATACCAGGGCAAGTTCTTCGACGAAGAATGCATCCTTGGGGAATTGTCCGAAAAGCTGAGAGAGGATGTGATCAACTACAACTGTAGATCCTTAGTTGCTTCTGTACCCTTCTTTGCCAATGCGGACTCTAATTTCGTATCCGACGTTGTTACTAAGTTGAAATATGAAGTCTTCCAACCTGGTAAGTTGTCTCATTGAAATAAATTTTGTTTAGTAATATATTTCACAACATTCAGCAATCGTTTAATGACGTTACAAGAGCCCCAAAATTGTGTATGTTAATTTTTTTACTTAGTCCCTCTGCTTTGTTAGATACTTATGCAGATCAGCAGATTAGTCTTGGTAGAATGTGAGTAGTATTCTTCTTTCTAGCGATTTTTCAAGCGAATCGTATAAGCTTAGGTAATTTTATATTCGTGTTTGTTATTTAAATAGTAATCAAACATAATCTTAAATATTATTACTTTTACATACTTTTAATATGTTTAATTACAGAATACGTAAAACAATAACTGTAAGTATAAAAAATAACAAAGTAGATACTAAATGAAATAAAAACTTGACAACAAAGTGTAAAATTCTTATTTATTACTTTACCTACTTTACATAAAGACATTAGCAATAGATAATAATTTTAAACGTTGATGTAAACAAATATATTTATAATACAAGTTAATAAATTTTAGCACCAAACACGAAACAAAAACACGATTTGTACATGTGTTGTAAGCATTTTATTATGTATTTAAACATCAATAAATAATAATGATTAATATTTTTGCCAGGCCATACTTTGTATATTATACAATTCTCGCAGGCGCGAGAAGCTGATGCTCCCTACTTATTTGCACCGTTTGTTTCCAGATTTGTATGATGAATTGTCATATTTATTTTTTGATTCCTTCTTTCAACGATCATCTCACATTTTGTCATGATGCCAAAAAAATTAATATATCTGTTCAATATTGGTACACTTCCAAAAAGGGCAAAATTGTAACTATACAATTAACATTGACATTATGATTGAAATACTCGGGAGTAATTCAAAAAGAGTAATGTTGTTTCACAACAGCATCTGCTCCCATTTTACTTCTAATGGAATTTTCAAAATGACCTGTTTGGATATTTCAAAGGACATTTATAATATCGGAAGTTTATAGACGATAATGAGGCAACTGAAACAATGTTGCTGGTCAAAAGCTACACCACGTGTGTTACATAATAGGAGGACTATATAAAAAATAAGACAAACAGTTTCTATAGGTGCTCTTGTAACAATGTTTTTAAACAGCTGAAGTTTAACATAATTCACTGTGTCAAAAATTATGAACTATTTGTAGGTGATATTATAATAAAGGAAGGAACGATTGGTTCCAAAATGTACTTCATCCAAGAAGGAATTGTGGACATAGTAATGGCCAACGGCGAGGTGGCAACGAGCTTGAGTGATGGTTCCTACTTTGGAGAGATCTGTCTGTTAACGAATGCCCGTCGGGTAGCTTCAGTAAGAGCAGAGACCTACTGCAATTTGTTTTCATTATCTGTTGATCACTTTAACGCTGTGTTAGATCAGTACCCACTAATGCGTCGCACAATGGAGTCTGTGGCCGCGGAGAGGTCAGTGCGTTGGTTGGTATAAAGGAACCCAAGAGGTTTTATTAAATTATGTTTGTTTAATCGCTTCTTTGCTGTGTGCTCCCCCTATTCTTCACCACATCTATAGTATGTTTAATCATCAATAGAATATGAAATTTTGAAATTTACATCATCATTACACAGAATATTAATACAGTAAAACCTAAAAACTAATACCATCAAGTAATCCAGAGAGAAAGTGACTAAATTCAATAACTCGAACTACATTCTATTAATCAATAGGTACATTTTAAAATTTAATTATACTTTATTCTGAATTGCAGATTCACTGTTCTTAGATATTCATCTCAAACCGTATTACTTAATGTAATTTCTTTATTTTTCATATTTAATTTTGGTCTTTTTTATAAGTGGTTGTCAACATGGCCAGAACATCAAAAATACGTAAACATACATCACTTTGAAATATAAAATATAAAATGAATATTATAAAAAGGTTAGATGGAGATTTTTGGAAAATATTGCTGATTTTTATTAAATTAGAAAGTCAGCCGTATATAGCTTTTTATTTTAAACGACTTTATTTTCAAAATTGGTGCAACAATAACTTGTCTATCTTTTCACTAATTCCAATTAAGTTTGAATTTTTTTTTAATAGTTTAAGGAAAGTAAAAAGTAATTTCTTACTTTAAGTTAAAACTATCTTTTACTGTTCAGGAAATTTTCTTTGCTCTAATTGAAAGTTGATTAAAATCAGAAATAATAAATAATGGATTTGAGATAAAATATAGCTCTAAAAATCTTTAAAATCTTTGAATAGCTATAAAATATCTTTTAACAGGGTAAGTCTTGTCGATAAAGATAAAGATTAATGTATGTTTCAATATCTTTGTTAGTTTTGTGGTAAGTATAAATCAAGTTAATTTAAATTAAATAATTAATGGTATATGTAGTGACTTGGTGATGGAATTTTCATAAATTTCAATATTTTATCACCGAATAGTAAAACTCATCAAAATAAGTTAGGCTTCCAATACCTAATTAGTACCGTCTTTCTTTTTGTTGTTTGTTTGTCATGTCTTGTCGTGGTGGTGGGTTAACATTGTATTTCATTCCATTTCTTTCTTCCACTGAGTAGTACTTATTTTTTGCTCAAATGTTTGCCATATTATAAAGTGAATTTTTATTTAAGTTACACTTTCGATTATTAATATAAACATAAAAACTGTAAACTATGAGAATTCAAAATAAAACTAAATTATTTAATTATTAATACACATTTTAGAATTAGGAAAGTACGATATCATAAACTATTTCTTATAATTCAGTATTAAATAAAATATAATAATTACAACTAGATAAAAAAATGCAATGGAAAAACTTTTTTTTAATTTTTATATCAAATAACAAAGAGAATCGACTTATTTTTTACCTATTAATTAAACACAAATAAACTATCTGTATATTTTAATTTTCACAAGAACAGAATCTTTTACACGAGGTTGTTATAAAAATGAAATACTTCTGATGTGTGGTAAAAATTTTAGCACTTATTTCTGGGGCATCCTTATTTTAAATGATTTTATCGTATGAAAAACAAATTTACAATTACAATGAATTTATGTTGGGGAATGCCAAAGTAAATATTTCTTTCTATTAACGAATCATAAGCTGGAATTGTATCAAAATCACAACCGAAAATTACAAAATTATGAAATAACGAAATACGTGTTACATATTTTAAGCAGACCTTTTGAAAAGATTTAAAAATTTATCAGTAAACAGGACTATACAAGACAGTAAATAATGGTCCATGAAAACATAAGATTTTTGGTATTTAAATATTTCCATTTGAGCTAACAAGCCTAAATAAAAGTTGGTAATAAAAAAATATGGTAAGTCAAAGTTGAGATTTCAAAGTTTATTTGTGGAGATCGTTTTAATGTTTTTGAATGTATGAATGAAAAAATGTAGGGCAGAAGTTTGGAGATACGAGAAATCATAATCTGATATCTATTTCGATGTATCTTCTAGACGGCACCATACAGGCTATATTTATGATGTAAATGTGAGTACAACTTTTTTACTTGTAACACTATCACATTTTTTTATTTAAAAATCTTATATCTACTTCATTTTTATGAAAACAATTATCCTTGTTATTAGCCTTAGAAACTGACTATTTTCGAGATTCACATTTCAACAACTAGCTGTATAATTTATTTCTGGAAATTTTAATGTAAAAGTATTATTGTCCTACTGTTAATCATTTTTGTCAATTTTATATATCAATTTTTAGTTAAAATCAGTTCAGCAAATATTAAAAAGACTTCCAAAGAGATTACATCATTACAAATTACATTACATAACAGAAGTTTGTTTCCTTGGCCGCCACATAGTCCAGATTTTAATCCTTTCAATTTTGGGTATGGAGCACAGTGAAATAAATTGTTTACAAAAACACTGTAAACATCCGTGCCTCACTTTGGCAAGAAATTAGTGTAGCCGCAGTTATTTTTGATCCAATGGTATTATTTAATATCAGGCAATCTTTCATAAATTATATAAATAAGTGTATCAAGGAGGATATATTCAGGATTTACTATAAAACATCTCTCTCTCTCTTTTAGTTTCCTTGTCCATTATGTTCTCTACCTGTTAAAGCGTTGATTAAATCATAATTTTGTTTAATTAAAATCTCCCTTCTATTGTTATTATGTAAATATTGTACTATGTTAAAATTTCCTGAAATGAATTATGCAGCTAATTGTTGAAATGCTTTTGTCTCAAAAACTGTCCATTTCTAAGGCTAATGGCAGTACATTTTTTTTGCAAAAATGTGGTATGTTTTAATAGTTGTTTATGAATAGAAAGCGGTAACTTTATGGGTAAAAAAATTATGCGCACACTTACATCCTAAACATGGTTTACATAACGACTTCTAGAATATACACTCAGAGAGCAGATTATGATTTATCATATTGAAAGACTACATTCATACATTCCAAAACATTAAAATTATTGTGAAAAATAAATATTTAAATAAAATAATAAATAAACTTTGACATCCTGTATCTTTTTTATTATCATTTTATAAAACTTGGTAGTTCAAATCGTAATAGTTTGAAGTAAAAATCTAGTATGTCTACATGAACCAATTACTAACAGTAACATGGGTGGTCTACCCATGAAAAAAATATTTTATAAACTCTATAATGTGGCAAAGCAACACACAACACAAACACAGAGACACACAATAAAGGGCGATGGTATTAGGCATAATTTAAAAAAACACCTGACATAGTAGCAAAACACCAAGACACAATGTAAAAGCTTTTCTAATTAATTTGCAAACCAACACACTCAAATAAACGTCGGATACATTAATCAAACTTGTACTTTTTCATGTAGGTTGAACAAGATAGGCAAAAACCCGAATCTTTTAGCGCACAGGGAAGAAGACCTGGGTAGTGAAAGTAAAACGATAAGCGCCGTGGTAAACGCATTGGCAGCGGAAGCAGATCATGTAAATATGTCGGATGAATCGATGGCGAGGTTGCACGCAAGCGAACGTAGTCTGCAAGACCTAGGAAGAACACTGCAGAGACTGACTTTACCTAGACCAAAGTCAGAGAACAATTTCGCATCCCAAGACCTCACCAGGAGCAGCGACCACAACGGAAGGCCATCATTTCATAAATCCGACACATTCCATAAGGAGAGCACATTTCAATGACGGCACTCCACGCACTAGTGCTCAGTGTTAACAGGGCAACTGTGCCAAATGCCAGTGCTAACCGTAGCAACAGCGGCGCTAGCAATTCGCACAGACCACCATTGAACTGGAAAAACACATGTACTAGTGCGTGAGCAGCTTAGCTGGTGTCTCTTATTAAGCAATAAGTGCCATGGACACTTTGCTAGAATTGTGCAATATTAGAACTAAATTAAGTTAGCTTTAATCATTAGGTGCTCAATAAATTATATGAATACTAGTGACAACACCAACCCGGTTTTTGGGTGGTTTTCTTTTCGTCTGTGCTAAATTTTTTGTACATAATTTTTCCGTACTCGACCATATCACACTACCAAGGTACACATGTAAGCTAGTGGCATTTCTTTTTTCCATTCTCATAGTAGAATGTTTCGAAAATTCACTTGCAAACGGTTTTCGGAAGCGAATAAGTCATACTCCAAGGAAAGTTTACTTAGACAAAAATAAATCTTAGTATATGATACCATTTTGTTTCTTTAAAAAGTTAAAAAAAAACATTGTTTTGGAGAAAAATGGATCACACTTTTCTAATACAGTTATGAGTTAATGGGAGTCGATTATTTAGCAGTATTGTAATCTAATAATCTCTTTTGCAAAATTTGCACATTTGTTAAACTTATTTTACTACCTAGATGTCAACTTGCCGTTACTTGAAGGTAACACCTATTGATATTTTAGACTATGTTTTTGCTACGCCTTGTTTTTTTTATGTAACCCCTTCCCGCAGGTGCAAGAAGCCCATGCTCCTTATTTATGTGTGCAGGCTTTGCTTCCTTTTCAGATATTAGCAGAAAATGAAACAATGAAAAAAAAACTGCCCTGTATTTTTTATTTCTGTATGAACAATTATTTATACTATCAATTTAAAAAAATATAAAACTGAAACGAATTTCGCTGCCAGCTGTGGCGTACTAAACTATACCTTCATTGCTTTGTCTTCAATAGGAAGTTCAATAAAAATCTCATACGACCCCTCATTTTTTTTTACTGATAAAGCAATAGAAGAGTTACTTAAACAAGAAGTTTTCTGTAATAACATGTCGATAGTCTATTATCTCACAAGTTGATAGCAATGGAGTACAATTCGAATTCAAATTTTTAAAATCAAATAAAAATTGTTAGTTTTTAGTGAAATTGCTTGTACACCTTGCATTAACTTAGTAGAATAGTACTGAGTAACACAACACTACCTACACTTTTTTTTGCAAACACCCCATTGGCACAAGTCCGGCATTAATTTTTTGGCCCTTTTTTTTTAAATGTCAGTATTCTAATCTTAAATTCTTCATGGAACTACATTCAAAAGGCTATTTCAAATTAGACTGTAAAAAATGTATAATATAGCAAAACAATGAAGATTAATCAGGTCAGATACTCTGTTGTCCATAACTAATAACCACGGTAGAAAACTGAAATCTATTTTTCTCTGGATCGATGCATTTTACTGACATGCGGCAAGAATGTCTTTTTTATAGCAAATAAAACTGCTTCTTCTCAAAATTTCTACCTACAAAAAACTTATGACAAAAAACAATATAGTTTCGGGTATTCTCAAAGGAGTTCTTGATACCAGAAAAAACAAAACGCGAACAAAACAGCAACAAATCATATACTTCGTCCCAACCAGATAGACTATATTCAATTTTAGTTTTGAAGTTAATTCCACAGGAAAGTTTAAAAAAAAGAGAACAATCGAACTGGTAAGATGCTTATTTAAATAGACAAAGGGATTTACAGAATAGTAAGAAATGTTTTTCAAACAGTTGCATAATTACGCTAAGTATTAAAATAATAAACAAAAACTTAACACCATTGAAAAACCCATTGAAACCCTTTGAGCATCTTTCGAACAGAACTCCGAAAACAAAACATAAACAGTCACCGGCAACTTGAGTTTGCAAAAAAGTTTAACAGTTGTTTTTAAAAGATTCAATTTAAAATTGACATGAGTTTCTATTTTGCTGCTGTTTTGTTTGTTTAGTGAAATCCGCTTTAGCAATCTGTATGTTTTGGTAAAAAATATGCCCATGTTCATTGAAATCTTAAAAAGTGGCAGAGTTACCTTAAAAATGAAGAAACATCAAAACTTTTTAAGAAAGCAAAATGGTACTAAGGCAATTTGATCTAAATAAGTTTATTATCATCCAACGAAGTTATCCTTGAAATACGGCCCAATTATTTTTGCATATCCTTAAGTATGAACTATTCGCATTAGATATTTACTTAATTATATTACAAACTGTGTAATAAATAATATCAAAATACTAAATGTCCTGTGGAAAAAACATCTCACAGATATTTTGAAACATTCTATATATGATAAACCTCTCTAAATTTTACAAACTAATCCCCACCGAAACTGTAAATAGTGAAAATATATATATAAATTTTATATAAAACAATAAAATTCTTATTTTAAAAAAAGTAGCAAATTATATTTAAGTAAACTCAGAAAAATAGAAAAAATGCACATTACTTTTCCATTTGACAGAAGATAGGGTTTGTTTAAACGGCTGTTAATACATTTGATGCTACTTTACTTCATTTTTAACATGTATGTGTAAGTAAATATGAAATAATAATTCCGATAGTGGACATTTTAAAACAGCATTCAAAGACATAGAGGTGGTTTTTGTCTTTGTCTTTTGTTTTAAGTTAATAATGTTATATAATACAAATCATTACTTAATAACAATTTTGTACTAGAATAAAATTTTGAAATTTCTCTATATGATGTTTCAGGAAAAAAATCTTGAAAAAAAAGGTGTTTTGTTATTTCGTATAATAATATACACTAAGAAAATAATGGATTGAGTTTGTGCCTTTCTAATATTTGCATAAAAAAATCTATCACCTTACGTATTAGCTCCCTATAATCAATTTTAATCAACTCTTGCACTAATCTAGAGTTATCGAATTAACGTAAATTTAATGGGAGAAATCCCGAAGTCAATGATGTTGAGAAGATAATTTCTTTTACAGCAAACAATACTGTTCATTGAAATAATAAAGAAATATACAATGAAGAATACATGAATTGGAAATACACTCGTTTAAATATTTATATAGTTAGACAACCCATTGTTTGCTAAACCACGCCACCCAAACCAAAGTAATCTAGCTAAACAACTGATCAAATTTAAACATGAGGATATTAGATAGTGATGCTACCAAAATATGCCTGCAAAAAAATAAAGAAGGGTGGCAGGGAGGTTTTGGTGGTACAGGTTTAAACAAATAAACATACTTGTAATAGTGCGATTACAATTAACATTATTAATATTGGACATATATATCATATTTACTTGCATTTTAGTAGCCGTTATTACAAGAAAACCAAGAACCGTGGTTAAATCAGCACTCAAAGAAGACACATGTCTGCTATGAACAAATTGCATGTTTCCTGCAAACCAGTATATTAGAATTAGCGATACATAGAAAAAGTGCAAGTTAGGCCTAAGGTTTATACAAATGATAACTAATCTATGAGTTTGCAGGACCAATATATTGTATATTAAAACCGTTTGACATTGAAAATGCTCAAATAATTCAGTTTTGTGGTGCAATTGTGACTGTAGCATCAGTGTTGTTACTTGGTATATTAAAGACAAAAGTGGTATTTTTTATCGAAATGGGTTAAACTGTAAAAATGTCTGTAATATGTGTCATACTGGGGGAAGCGATTATTGAGAATTTTTATTGTCAAGCTACTTATAGCCGAAATGCCTGCCTGGATATTTTTATTATTTTGATTTTAATTGTTAAGCAATAATTTAGTCATACCTACATTCTGGTGGGCAATTCGGTTTTGTATAATAAGAAGATAATATAAAGAAGGAGACTCTTCACATTAGCTGTGATCTACAATATGGATGTCTTATCATTAACAAATGGTCTACTTCTCAATTATTTGTGTAAAAACAGGTAATTACAAATATTTATTTATTTAGAATAATTTTACCTCAGCTAAATGTGTGCTTGCAACATGTTTTGACAAACACTGGGTGGTACAATACTTCAATTATTATATTTTAGTATAAATCAAAATCGGACTCTTAAATCATAGTAGTGCAATTACTAACGGTTAGTTAAGGTGAAAAGAACATTTTCGGTACATGCGAGCAAAAGTATTTTAAAAAGGTTGAGAAATTTTGTACTCTGTTATCTGAATGTTACTTTTTGAGTAATCTAAAAAAGTATTGTTTTATGAAACCAATTACAAATAATGGCCAATCTAACGACCACTTTTGAGAACATGGAAAAAGAATAAGAATATGAGGTCGTACAATGAGAAAATGTCTGTTATTTAATCTGGAATCTGAAAAAAGTGATAGTTCTGATCTGAAAAGTATATTTTATATTTTGATAGTGATACAAACTAAAAAAAAAAAATGTATTTGAAGATTAAATACGTTTTTGTTTTATGCAATTTTATTTTATGTAAGAAAATTCAAAATTGCCCTTTTTACATTGCTAGAACAATACTGAATATTAATGTAACATGAATTATTAAGGATATATTTCAGTTTTTAGTACTTTCTCCAATGTAATATAAAAGGAGACATGTAGAATTAAAAAAACATTTTTTTTTTGGCTAGCCTCTCAGTCTTTACCATTTCCAAGATCCAAATGAGAATATTTTTAAAAATGTATTTACTATACAATTCCTATCTGCAATTTAAAATTTAGAATATTCAAATATAAATGATTTTCAAATCTCTCTAAATTAAAATATTAACAAAATACTCGGCAAAAAATAATTTGAAAAAAATATTTTGAATATTATTTAGGTATATTATACAGGGTGATTCAGAACTTATCCAAAAAAAATTCTGGTTGTACAGGGGACCCTTACAAATACAATTTTGTAAAGAAAAAATCAAAAAGGGTAGTTTGAAAATGATTTAAAAATACACTTCTGCACGGCACTGGAAACTGGTCCACTGTAAAACCTGACCTAGCACAATGCGACCGACATGGCGGTGTGATAAAAACGGACAAAAACTTTCGCAAGGAAAGAAATATGTAATAGAATTTTATGGCACCTATTTTATATCGGCAAATTCAACTGCTTTTGCATTTATTAATTAATAAAATTAATTTGTGTTTATAAATAATAAAATCATTTGACATACCCGATGTTACAACAATTGTTCAAAATTTTATCCACCAATGTGTAAACACAGTCCGTTGGGTCCGTTGTACTCAGTTTCTACGAACTAACACAAATGTTGTCTTGTTTCACCATAACACAAATGCTTCACCATAAATTAAAATGATATCCATCAACTCCGAGTACACGCAAACCATTTTTGACACTAATTAATGATTTTTGACCACTAACTACTAAAAACATATTCTAAACATCACAGATAACAGGTAAATATCACAACGACGATTGCAAAATCCGAATTCAGTATTCGGAGTCGCTGAGGCACGTGGCGAATGACGTTAGAGACTACAGTTGTCCAGCTATGTAGTGGTTGAATGTACTGTAACTTCAATATTTTTTTTCTTGGAAACTATAAGGATTTTACAAAAATTTTTTTTACGATATAGATTCCATTTCTCATATTGCATCTATTCCCAAATTTGTTTGGATAAGTTGTGAATCACCATGTATATTTCAAATTTTACCAACAAATAAGTGTATATAAAAACATGTTTGTGTTGTATTTTTTATTTATATAAGAAAATGTGTATGCTCTACAAGTGGGCTACAATTGGCCGTAAATATTTTTACTTGTATGTATCAAATTAATTATGAAGTTTAGTGATATTTGTTTTTTATAATGTACAGTGATTTTTAAAAAGTAGACGACTGAAATATCAATAAGCATGTTAATTTTTAATTCATCTCTGCTATGTTGCATCGTAGAAGATGTGATACGATGTAGATTTAATTAAGTTATTTATTGTTACCTTTAAGTGTTGAAAGCAGTTTGTAACATACATAGATCTTTTTAAAGTAGTGTGATATTTATCTGTTATGTTATTACTATTCCAGAGTCTATCACGATGCAACATCTCGATAGTAGGTACCTACATGTAGCAAATAAAAAAGAAATATCAATTATAATTTGTGTTATAGGTTTCACAAATTCTTGCCATGATGAAATCCTAGCCTAGACTGAAAATTGTAAAGTATGCTTTGTTACATTATGACAAGTAGAGTAAATATATGAAAACATCTTAGTAGGATCTTTGTAAACTTTTGGTCAACATTTTTTTATTTTAATTCAAAATACCAAAATCATTTAAAATTCCAGTACTTTTATTCTAAACGTATACAAAATTCAAGTTATATTTGGTATTAAAAGTTACATATAAGTTAATAAAGGAATTATTTATCTAGCAAACATTGTCCATAGAAATACAAAGGTCCTAATTTTAGTTAATATGAAGTATAGTTATATACAGTTCTAGGGATTAAAACTTGCAGTTCTGTGAATTCTTGTTATATTTTTACCAAAAGTGCTCATGCTGTTATAACGTATAGAGTATGAATTAATGCTGACTAAAAATGGGAGAAGCTCTTGAGAGGGTTTTAATTGTATTATATAAATTTACTCATGTTTCATATACACCTACATTTTACCTCAGGTCCCTCATAATCACCATATATAAATTTCCTTGATTTTAGGAAGTGAACGGTTGAAGATAAAACATAAGTAACAGTTCAAGGTACATCCACATACAGACTGTTACTGTTTATGCTATCAAAACAATGAAAACATAAGTAAAAATATATGTTTTACTTCGATAATTTATAAATAAATCACACCATATCCATCATAAGTTACAAATCGTTTTCTAACTTTTATAAAATTATTTTCTCATTATAAAACATTAATCAAATCCGTATTGACATTTTATAATAATATGGAATACTTTCTAAAATCAAGGGAATCTACTTTTTTTATACATAAGTTTTAATTTAACTCTCAACAGACAGTTTTATTGGAAACCTCTGTTATGAAATTGTATATAAATGTAGAAAAGTGCCTCTTTTAAATTGCGCATTGCTACTCTCTTGGTCAACTATTAGAATAATCTGATTTTATTTTAATGTTTTAACTGTTGTTAAACTTTGGTTTATTATTGAATAAAGCTGCATTTTTACAGTTGATGTGAGTTTACTTTACACTATGAATTTTTAAATCTTGGATTAATGTGGATAATAATATTCATATTTTAAAAATAGAAAAAGCAATTAACTTTTATGAAGTACCTATTCGTAGAGGAGAAATATAGCTACTATCAGTCATGCTGATTTTACCCTTGCCGCATTACTTATATGGTGGAACTAAATAAAACAAGTAGGTATATACTGTTATTACTTGAAAAAATATTTCTTTAGTTTTAATAACTTTTTTTCTTGGGAATATAAATTAATCGATAATTGTATGAATGAAGATAGATGCTTCAAAATAAAAAATCAGACTTACTTTTCAACATATTTTAATACATTTATATCTAATAATACCACTATAATTATTGAAAGCAATTATCCCAAAGTGCGGTATTCCATAGTAGTTAACTAGACCACACCTTAGAACACACTTTTATTTACAAATTACAATAATTTGTACATAAAAACAGATTGTTTTTGTTTTCCATTGAGAATGTATTAACATAAGACAAGTTCGGTATTGACATCTAGATACTCTAGACATGTCTCTTTGTCTTTTCATCTCTTACAATTAGAAAAGAACAAAACACATCTGGAGCGTCTAGATGTTAATACCGAACTTGCCTTAAGATAATTATCTCGGTAATCGGTATCCTTAAATTATTAATATTTTACATGCAAGTAATACAAATAATTTTCTATTGTGGACAAATGAATAATATCGTATTAGACATGTACTTATGTATCAAGTAGTATGAAAATAATATCCTACTTACGAAGTTTCCAAAACGCCAAGTTTGAGTTCAAAAGGCCAAGGAAATTTTCACAATGCAAAACACAATAGTAAGACAGCAAATCCTAACCTTTCATACTGATTCATTATTATAGCGGCCACACCAAAACGAAATGCTGCTTTCATTACTTTAACATTCCAAAACATCATGATAAGCCGAAGCCATGTTGAACAAACTTTTGGTGTCACGTTTATATTTATGCCTGTCGCTGAATTATCATTTTTTCCTAATATCCTATGAAATATACCATATTTATCAACATAGTAACTAACTCTACCTTCTGGAGGCATCCTTTTATAAATATCTATAAAAATAAAATACTTAATTTCCCGTATATTTAACAACTTTTAAATATATTTTATTACATTTTTAATTTCTTCTTTAAAGGGGCAAAGAGAATTGTATATTATATTTCTTGAAATTCAAAAAATATGTAAATGCCATACTTCGTAATGTCAAAATATTAAAATCTGACAATTGCTAATTGCTCATAAAGACGTTTATTTCACATAAAAGCACATACTATAGAAGTATGTGCATAAAAGTAGATGAGTTCCAACATCACAGAGCGATAATTCAATTCTGTGTTCAACAGTTTCTCCAAGGAAAATGTAAAGACAGTCATCAATCTCACTTAATCTACTATAAAATTAATGTTAATTATGTGTATGAAGTCCAATTCTCTTGAATCGTTGAAGCATGTATTTGTCTAGAACTAGATGATATGATCAAATAGAACTGTGGGTATTATTTTTTTCTGTGGTCAACTAATAATACTAATATAAACATAACCTTAATTTGATATTGATAATGGCAGCGGTATCATTACAAGAACAATTACAAATGAAGAGAGATCCTGTAGACAAGTGGTCCCTTAGAGAGCAGCTATGCTTAGCTTCAGCTGTTTCCAGAAGTGGCGATCAGAATTGGATGTCTGTTAGTAGGGCTTTAAAACCATTTGGCGAACCAAATAGACCTTCAGATTGGTTTCATCAAAAGAATTGTGCAGCGCAGTATGGGGCTCTATTGGGCAATATTGAAATTCCCAAACGTAAAAAACGAACAAGTAGTGCAGATTCTGCTGTAGAAACACCAGCTGAAAGTATTTTACGAAAATTACTAGCTGCACGACAAGCAGAGTTGAAAAAGTTGCTTGCGGAAGAAAAATCGGAATATTTAAAGTTGCAGGAGGATATGGTTTTGCTGCAGTCAGGTATGTTAAGGTTAGGTATGTTCACTTATATAATAGTTCATCATTTTTAAAATTTTTAGGAAAAGTGAGTGAAGAACAATTAGATAAGTGGTGTAAAGAAATCGATGAGGAAGAGCACAGAAAAGAACAAGAAGCCCTAGCTCATGGTCAATATTTGAGAGAGAGAGAATTACGTAAACAAGAAATAGAAAAGGTTTGGAGACCCATCAAGCCAGCACCTCTTGTTGGTCAAAAACGTAAAAACTCTGATTCCATAGAAAGTCTATTAGAAAATGAGCAACATGAACAGTTTGAAGATATACAACAACCTCCGCAGCAGCTGCAGCAACAACAAGTATATGTACAAATGCAAGAACCAGCAAAACCGGCTTTATCGCCTTTACTAACTAGTTTATTAAAATCCCCTTCTCAAGTACAAAACGTTTCAACATCTTCGTCTATACTGCACACTGCTATAACTAATCGGCAAGCTCCTAATACTAATACCAACCCAATGATTGCCAGTTTATTAAATTCGTCTACTGGTGTAACGGTTTCTCCAGGCCTTCAACAACTAGTTAGCACAGCAATTGGTCAAGAAGACGAAAGTATGATTATAGATTCAGAAGAGAATGTTCCTTTAGGAAACGATATACTAGACGATGCCAATTTACCTAATATTAAAATTGATGATCTTGCAAACAGCATTCTTGTGCAGGATGGTCCATTACCTGAGATTAAGAAAGAGGAAGTCGATGACATAATATCCGAGATAATAGAAAATGCAGATGAAATTGTTGCAGATCCTGAACAGCATCTGCAACTAGACGGCAATGGAGATATCAATATTAATTTAGAATTAGATTTTGAAGATGATGAGTTACCTGATCCCGAACCTGAGCCTGAACCAGAGCCTGAGCCATTCCAACCTAAAGAGGTATTTATCTTTTAAATAGTTTTAAAATCTTTTTTTAGATAATTGTTGTACTGTTAAGAGGTGTAGTTTTAAAACCTCATTCTACAGTAGAAAAAGCTATAAAATGTATCAAAACAATAACAATTACATATATACAATTAGAAATAGTTATGAAATAAATGCTACAGAGCCTTCATAAATGATTATAAGCCATGTGACCAGTAATTTTGTTTGCAGCAGTAATTTTATTTCCTTCACGAATCAACTATCGCATTATCTGAAATGCAGACATTGCGGTTTGTTATTGTTCATTGTAAACGAATCATTATCATTGGTGACGCCAAGATTTAGCGAGTTTTAGGTGATAGTACCGTGCAATGTAGGTTGCTTAAGCTCGGCGGCTTGTAGTTATTAACGAAGGCTCTGTATTTTATTAATGTTTATTACTGTCCAAGTATTAAACTTGGAATCATCATAGGGACAACCACTATTCGCAGTACGTTTTTATTTTCGTAGGAAATTATTCTCAATTTTCAGTGATCGCGCATAATTCCACCTAAATTTCACATATACAGGTGTTTGTGAATAATTGCGAAATATTTTAGGTGGTCGTTGGCGAAGTTATTGTGTGAAAAAAGTTCAAATTGGTCGATATATGCTTTGTTTCCGAGATACAGAGTGTTTAAATGTTAATTTTTTATTTATTTTTATTAATTGTTTCAAAGAGTTTTAAAGATATTGACTCGAAATTTGAAAAATGTTTTGGAGGGATAAATGTGCATTTTTTGGGGTCATGCGAATATTTCTACTTATACCATTGGCGTTTGTGCGAGAATGCCACAAACTTTTTTAATAAAAAAAATATTACTTTTTCCCGTTCTGATATTTTTTTAGAAATCCGCCATCAGTTTTGACTGAAATTGGTTTCTACAATTTTTTTCGTAGAATGCACCATTTTTGAGGAAAAAATAAGACATATTTTATTGTAGGTTTTGTTAACCTTTGATTAAAAGGTCTCTTTTAATAAAGTGTTATTATGGTCAAAGTAAAAAGGCAATTCAACCTTGAAAACAAAAAGTTGATATGAATGTGGGTACAAAATTTAATCGTTTAAGTAATTTTATTTTGTTTAATATTTCAAAAAGTTTTATTTCTACTACAGTAACATTAAACCAAAACAATAACACAAAACAACAGTAATAAAAATATTTTTTAATAGTCGCAAACCTACAACTGATGTTGAAAATGACCTCCCTCAGGGGCCGCCTAGCCGGGTGTCTTGGCCGATGGATTTCGATTGGCCGACGTAAGCATCACGGACGCAGGCTGGAACTTGGATGGGTGACCTAAGGTAGGCTCGTGATGTGGCTGTGGCAGCCTACCAGAGACCTGGGTCGCTCAACACCTTCCGCCTGCGTGTGGTTCCCAATAAAATGGTAATGAGAATAGAGAAATAAATCTCTGTATCTCAAGACCATAATATACATAAAAAGTTGTACAAGACTTTGCCACAAAGCCACCCGTGTAGTAATAGGATGGTGGCCTAAGTGCTGCGATGGAAAAGCAATTTTCCACCACCCCCCGACATACATATAAGAGTCAACGCTTTGCCTCATTGACTGTCGTATTCGCTGAAATATTCGTTCTGTATTTCTCATTCACAGATGGCTGTAATTTGATCCCTCAGGTCTTCAACATTTTCAAATTTCAAGTCAATATCTCTGAAATAATTAATAAATATAAATAAAAAATAAAAATTTAAACACTCTGTATCTCGGAACCGAAGCAAATTTCGACTTTTTTTCACAAAACTTCGGCAACCACCCCTTAAAATATTTTGCACTTATTTATAAACACCCTGTATAGGACGGCCCAAATTTCATATTATAATTTTGATCATCCCATTAATTTGTATTTTCCTATGCAATTAGTAGCAACCCCATTTTAATTTAGAAAATTTAGAATAACTATCTATTTAATAAAACTGCATTAAAAATAATAACTGAACAATGACTTTCTGTAAGTAAATGTATAGATTTATCACAGGGTGATCCGGATTTTAATAGACAAACTTCGGGAAAATACTAAGCAACTTTGCTCTATGAACATAGGTGCAGAAAGCCACCGTTTATGAGATACAGGGCGTTGAAATTTTTAAAAATAAAACAATTTTCTTCTTTTATTTTTGTCGAAAAGTGAATGGTTTACGATTTATGAGACATATTATCCAAGTAAACAAAATGTTGAAATAGAGAAAAATAAAATGAATTTGGGTGGTCCAGATTTTAATAGACAAACTTCGGGAAAGTACTAAACAACAAAAATTAATATCGCATTGCTCTATCAATATAGGCACAGAAAGCCACCGTTTATGAGATACAGGGCGTTGAAATTATCAGAATTAAAACAATTTTTTTAAATAACTGTGTGTAACTATAACTTGTGTGTACCAAATTTGGATAAATTTTATGAAGTGGCTTTCCACATCTTTAAAAAAATTGTTTAATTTTTGTTAATTTCAACACCCTGTATCTCATAAACGATGGCTTTTTGCGCCTATTTTCATAGAACAAAGTGATGTTAATTTTTGCTGTTTAGTTCTTTCCCGAAGTTTGTCTATTAAAATCTGAACCACCCTGTATAGTATTTATAATATTTTTTACAATATTTATTATATTACTCATAAGTATGTGATTCTTTTCATCATCTTAAGAAAAAAAGGTCCTACTAGCAACAAACAATTTTAGATTTATTTTTTTATTTATTTAACACTGAAGTAAGTCGCAATACTCCAAAAATTATATATTTTTCTAGTAAAATCGAAAATATCCGATATGATAACCTTTATTTAATTATATCGTCAACTTAAATATCATCAACCAATAAAAACTTTAGCATTCTGTATCTCAAGAACTAAACTAAGGCACAATTTCAAATGAACTTTTCCCTTAATAATGATCTAATACAAGCATACTAATATAATTATCGTTGTAGGAGCCTGAACCACTGAGGGAAGAACAGAAGGTTGTAGAGAAACCAGCCACCCCTCCTCCTGTAGATCCGTTTGAATTTCAAGAAGACCCCGTTATTTTTGAACCGGCAACGAAACCTTCAATCTCAACCGGCAAGCAGCAAGATCTCAAGCCATACGTTCCCCATTATCAACAACAACCTCCACCTGTGACAACCCAATCCCAACCACCATCAATAATGCCTTCAGATATTGTCACAACTGAAACATCCGAAGTTATACCGGAGGTAACAGTAGAGAATGAGATTAAAGAAGAAATTATTGAGGATGAACCTAGATCGGTCAAAAGCGTATTGCCGGGTTCTGTGGAAATAGTAGAAGTTGTTGTAATGGATGAGGAAGATATTGACAAAGAACTGAACAAATCTCAGATACAAGACATCGTTCACTCCAACAAGCCAGAGGAGCCCGAGGATGTAAAACCGGTCAAGGTTGAAATCAAAGAAGAGAAACTGGATGTAGAGATTGAGGAGGCCAATACTGACACACCTGAGAGTAAAGAAGTTGTTGCTTGTGAGGAATCTTCAGAGGCTTCGGATGTTACAACTGTAACGGATTCCAAGAAAGACATTAACATTAACTTGGATGTCCAAGATAGTTCAGAAACTACTACCATAACTCATGATTTTTCAGAAGCATTGTATGACGATATCAGCATGGAGGTCAAAATCGATAAGAGTGGTAAAGTGAAAAGGGATTACTCCAGAACGAAGAAAAAAGAAGGTAAGTTCTAAACTATATCGTTTTAATTTTTATTGTCGCCTGTTTTATAAACATTTTTAATAACTAGCTTCCCATTATAATTGATAACATAACTAGAATGAAACATGATATTACGTTAATTATTCAAAGTATTACACATAGTCCAGTTATTCAGGGTTTTTACCTCCGAATTCTTTATAACTGGACCAATTGACGTGAAATTTTGACTGAATGTGGGGAATGTCTCAAGGAACAAAACTTATATAGTGCCAAAGTGTGCTTTTGCCCCTTCTTGGGGGTGGACATTTTTACCCCCAAAATAGCCACAGGAATCGATAGAGGAGTCAATTTTAAGTAACAAATGTTATATAAAGTTTTTTGGATAATCCAATACTTCCCGAGTAATTCGTCATTGAAAATGTTGATTTTTTACTGAAAAAATGCTTGTTTTCGGACAGTTTTTTGTAAATAACTCGTAATTTTTGAAAATATTAATTTTTCAAATTGTTTTAAAAAATATAATAATTTTTTTATGCTGTAACTTAAAAATTAAAGGGTGTATGAAAAAAATACATGAGTAAAAAAATTTAGCTTTATTTTTGCTGAAGATTTTACTTTTTTTATTCCTCTAAAATTAATATTAATCGAGATATCGCCATTTTGAGAACCACCCTTTTCGAGCCCTTTAAACCCTTCAAAATTAAAAAAGTAGGGCTTAAAAAAGATCAACTCAACAGTTCACGTAGCCCTTACAATTCCCTGCAAAATGAGCCTTTGTGCGATTAAAAATCTTAAAAAGTAAGAAAGTTATCGTCAAAAAAATAAACACGTGTATAGGTGATAATTTTAGGAAAATTTAGGCCAAACAAGAATTTTGAAGCATTTAGATCTTTTTTGTATATATACGTATTTATTATGTGTACAAACACAAATATGGATGGGAAACAAACATATTAATATAACGGACTGGGCATGGTTAAAAAAAAAGATTTATTGGAACCAATAAAAATGCATAGTTTGCCAGCTCCGGAAGAATTGCTGAAAATGATTTTTTGCAATTGCAAAAAAGATTGCGGAGCAAAGTTTTGGCAAGAATGGTTTAATGCATTGTTGCCTTGTTGCCAAAGGTTTATGTAGATGAGGTAAAGAGATTTTTTATATTTTTGCACAGACAAAGTATAGTCGTTACAATATCAGTTGGAATTGCATAAAAACATTTTAACATTTTGTCTTGTCTTTTTTAGAAATAGTATATTCCGAGCTATATTCCTATTTGGTTGACGATATTCTCGAATTTTTTGTAAATCATTTTCCCGAAGTGTAGCTATACGTGGTGATTCCATAATTATCATACGATTGTCAAGTATTTTATGTTTAAAACCGCATTGTAATAAAACATGTTGTAAAGTATCTAAAGATTTATAATTATAATCAGGATAATCAGTTAATTTATCTCGAATCATGTTTAAAGTAGGAACTTTATTTTCTTTATACAGATAAATTATGCGCCGTATTACAACTTTGGTAAAATCGTCAATATTTTTTTATTTTGTATTTTTCCGTTCCTTCTTTGTATCGTGATTAATAACGTCTCCTTTAATTAAGCGATAAATTGTCATTTTTGATATCTTAGTTAATTCACTAATCCTTTTCCTAATTTCTTTTAGCACTTTGTTCACTATTTTCTCTTTTTAAACATTCATATATATTTAAAATAATAAGTTGACTTGGAACGTGTAAATCTTTGTTTTTAAACTCTGAGTTTGTTTCGACACTTTGGACAAAAACCGTCTCGACTATTTGGGGATTTTCCCGGGTTATTTCGTTATCTTCCATTTCCAAGGGTCTCCAGAAAGCCATGCTAAAGTACTAGATAATTACATATAACATTTATTTTAATAACTATTACCCTTACTGGTTACGATATGAACAAATATTAATATTAACTAATAATTAATAATACGTATTATATCAACAATAAATATACCACGCCAAGCACTGCTCTCTACGGCACTGACAGTGAACCGCATTTGTCACCAAACTAATTATAGAATGCCATGCAAAAAATTATTTACGACCTAGTGGACCAATACAGGTTTGCTTTGACGGCCAGCGCGCCACCGTCGATTCTACATCAGGTAGATTGGTCTACCAATACCGGACTCGCCCAATGGCTATTTGAGTATAAATTACAAAACACATCATGGCTAAAGCATAAGAAGAAATTTTAAGAGAAGTGCAGACGGTCTTGTGCTTTAAGATTCACAGGTTCCACTAAGTAACACAAGAAATAATTTATTTTGCAACTAAGTAATAAGGAAAAACCTGACGATGTATAAGAAGAAGTCGATGATATCAGATAACGAACTGTACCCTGCAAAGGCGCTATCAGAAGCGAGTTGGATCACTTGGCTATCTCACGTTTGTGTATACACAAGAATTACCTGCCCATGTGTACGTGTCAGTGTTTTTGGTCATTGTGCCTGGATTAGGGTTATTCCCATTAAATCATCCAAATCCATATTGGGATGATTTTTTAATTACACCGACAAATACCCTTAATGCAGGAAAATATACTTAAATGTACAATGCGGCGATCGTAAATATTATTCGAAATGATTTAAATATTTACATCAAAATACTAAGTTTATTAATAACTGGAATTTTTTATTTATTTGTTTTATTATACTTAAATATTACTTTAATAGTTACGTAAAACCAGTGATGAACCAGGAGACTGGTGTCCCCACACTGCTAATATTGCAAGGTAGTGAAATTTAATACAAAATTTAAAATTTTTTAAGGTCTCGATGAACCTATCTAAAATTTTGAAATTTGAGAAATTGGAAATTTAAATATTAAAAGTGGTTACAAGTTACAATTTTTTGTAGTAATACATATTACATTTGAAACATAATTTCATTTGAAATATTTCCAAAGAAATTTTTGAAAAATTGAGTTTTTTTGGAAATTTTAATTATATCAGAATTTATTAAAATTTCGTAATTTCATACATTTTAAATATTTCAAAAATTACATGCAATATGAAATAAAACATAATTTTTTCCTGTTTTGATCTGGAATAGATCAGGAACAAAAAAAAAACAGTTACATTTTGTTAACGTTTTGTTCTTTTTATTACATTATTGAGTTTTACACACTGAAAAAAATATTGATTATACAGAAGGATATTTGGATATAAAAATTGATAAAATCATAGTTTTTGATTTTAAAGAGGAAGTTGAAATATAAAACCCAGTACATAGTTCTAAGATGTCGTAATGAAACAATAACTTCGTAACAAAATGTAATTTTTTTTTGTCTAATTTAAAGAAGTGTATCATTTTCATAGATTTAACTGTATGTACTAATGTCTTAGCACACCCCCCCCCCTGGTTTTTAAAACTGATGATATGGGAAACAACTACTCTGGGGACTAATGCCCCAACAACTAGCATTGAATTATACCCGCAATATCGGTAAACAGCTAGGATCCTTAGTCCTTAAGAGTACTTGTTATCTGCAATATCATAGATTTAAAAATTGTTTTGCGTGGAGCTGACATGTCACTTCATAGATTGTTGTTACATTTCATCTATATTAATTCTGCCTCCTTTGCTAAAAAATTATTTAAGTTCAGTAAAACAGACGATTTCTGTATATTCTTACAGGCTTTGACATGTTGTTGGCGATTGAAAAGGCGCAACTGGAAGACAATGAACTAAATGAAGAAACTTTCTCGGACAACACAACAGACACGGAAAAGAAGGACATTAAGGTTAAAATTAAATCTGAAAACGAACGCTCCAACAGCCCTTGGACCGAAGAAGAGGACAACGTGAATCGATCTAAGAGGAGTTACTCCACACCAGCAACTCCGGTAGATTCAGTCCCAAATTCTCCTGCCTCGAGTACTACAGCTTACTATGAAGATGACAGAGACTATCGAAACTGGAAAAAATCTGTGATGCTGGTCTACAATCGTCTGGCCACCAACAAATATGCATCATTGTTCCTAAAACCTATAACCGAGGATCAAGCACCAGGTATGTAATTAATGTATAAAGAACATTAACTAAGTAATTAAAAAAAGTAAACATGAAACAAATATTGATCTTATTTAACACAAAAAGGCTGAATATATTTAACATGTTTTGGTAAGTTTCATACCCCGCCACTAGATGTAATAGTGTAATAGACTGGGCGATATCTGTTTTGGTTTGGGTGAATCGTATATCCACGGAGATTTTTGGTTTTTTGGCTTTCAAATATCACTAGAAATGAAAATTTTTCTGCACGCATAAAAAAAACGTGGGCTTAACTTTTGGCGGCACAATATGTTAAAAAAATTCGAAAAATTTCAAATTTTTCTTCCTATTTAATTATGTATCTTTTCAAGAGTTGATTTTAGGCAAAATGGAAAAGGAAAAAAATGTTTGTAATTAAATTTTTTACAAAATATGACTAGTTACAAATCGAATGAATCATGATTATTATTGTAAAAATTGAAAAAATCGCCAATGGGGTTAAAGAACATTACTTTTTAGGGAATTTTTTGGGGTCTTTAAATTGGGTATAGGACTTCGATACTTAGCTCAAGAAAACTTCATGTTAAAATGATATAATCGTCACACCAAATTTCATCAAAATCGGTTGGATAGATTTTGCATAATAATTTTGCAATCCAAATTTTGAAAAAAATGTTGCCGTTTTCAAAATTTTGCACAGCAAAAACCAAGGCCCTTAGATACTTGAAAATTTAATCACATATAGAAGGGCTCTCAAGCTTTCAAACGCTTTTTGAAAAATTCGAATCCGTCAATTAGGAGATGTCTGGCACTTGTTTAAACATTGGTCGAATTTTTGTATTTATAATCAATTAGAATAGCTTTGTGAATATTCAATCAAATCAATTTTTTTAAAGCAGGTTTCAAAAGTTATTTGAAAGACTCTTCTTTAAAAAAAAAACGGATCGATTGGTCAATTAATTACGTAGTTATAGCCGATCAAAGTTAACCGTCATTTACACTAAATGTGCTGGGACATCCGGGCTAATTTTTCGAAAAATACCTTTGGTATTCCGAGTACTTATCAGGTCTACAGCTGAAGCAGCCGCGCTCTCTGCTTCCCCCATCACCACCACCCGTACGATTTTCTTGAATTTCTCGCTTGCATAAATAACTTTAAACACGTTTTAAAGCACACACCATCACACTATTCTCATAAACAGTTTTGATTTTGTTAAAAATCTTATGCTTTTCCCTTTGCAAGAAGAAACCGGATTATGTTCCTCACTTCGCAGCTGGCGGGATTCGGAATAGCGGCACTTATTTTTTTTCAACATGCCACTGCAACAACAGTTCTCAACTAAGACAAACGAGCATTTGTTCTACTCTCAACGCCTTGGCCTTGAATGCAGTGTTGCCAACTTTATCAAAAACAGACACCACAAAATATCAGTCTCAGTACTCTTACTTACCATTCTCATAAACAGTTTTGATTTTGTTAAAAATCTTGTGCCTTTCCATTTGCAAGAAGAAGCCGGATTATGTTCCTCACCTCGCAGCTGACGGGATTCGGAATAGTGGCACTTATTTTTTCAACATGCCACTACAACAACAGTTCTCAACTAAGACAAACGAGCATGCGTTCTACTCTCAACACCTTGGACTTGAATACAGTGTTGCTAATTTTATCAAAAACAGAAACCACAAACCATCAGTCTCAGTACTCTTACTTCCAACATTATTTTGCATTGTTCTAATATTTTTTTTGTATTTTCTATCTTTTTTTTGCTGTAGTATTAAATTTTCCTGTGGTGTATATTTTGGTAATTTTAAGGATAAAATTGACGTTGCCATTACTTCTAGGTTACAGCACCATCGTATACAGACCAATGGACTTGCAGACGATTAAAAAGAATATCGAAAACGGCACAATAAGGACAACACTGGAGTTCAAACGTGACACCATGCTGATGTTCATGAATGCAGTCATGTACAATAAAACAAACGACACGGTGTACAATATGGCCATGCAGATGCAACAGGAGTCGATTCAGCCGATCGAGATCCTGATGCAGGCGCAGAACCAGGCTGATGTACCCCTCAGAAGAGAGACCCGCACCAGCGAGTCGGGATGTAAGAGAAAGCGCACCATCACCGACGAGCTGATGAAAGCGAAAAAACGCAAGGAGGATTAGCAGTGCTCTTACTTCATGTTTGACCTTGATGATTTTTTTTGAAGGTTGTTGATGGGCACTGGTTAATTTTTCTGGAAACGGTTTGTGAAATGAAGGAAATTCTTTAAGTTGTAAGTGCAAGGCAGAAGAATATTACTTTTTTTTTTAACGGTTCTAATTTTTTGGAGTACGTTTTTTTTTAGAACTAAGAGGAAATATGTTAATTTAGAAATCGTGAAGGTTTTAGGTGCTCTTTGGTTGAAAAGTTGCCTTTATTTTACCTACTACTGTGATATATGTATGGAACGTTTATTAGGATTATTCCTCGTTAACCTAACATTACGGGCCAGCTATATGACCATCGCCGTCGATAGAAATATGATGTTAGTTTGTATATGTAGGTTGTAAAGATGTGCAAATATGGGTCTTTGTTTCAGAAGGCCTTCTACTTTCAAAATGAGGAAAATAGTAAACATATTTTCTAAAAAAAACAGTGGTTCGATATTACACTTTAACTTTCTGAAAAATAATAAACACTGTAAAGTACATATAGTTAGTTTTATTTTATTCCAAACCTTTTCCTTTTGGGCTCTTGTGGGAGTATAGAAGTCTTCAGAATAAATTTCAGTGTTAACATAAAGTTATAGTATAGTAGTAGTCATATTTATTTAGCCATGCCCATATACAGGTCTGGTCGAAGTAAACTTGGAGGTGGTAGAAATGTATATTCCCATTTGAAGAATGTGAGTGCGGGCAAATGAAATACAAACAGCTGCATTGGGCCACTGGGCAATAAATCTCAGCTGCTGACAAGTGGTTGACAAATCGCCCAGCAGTGCAGTGTAGCAATGCGGAATTTGGTGTGATTCAGGTAATTTTAATTTATTATAGGCACCTTCTATTAATCATTCATATTACAATTGCGAAAGGCATAAATAAGAGGGATATTTTGTTTACTAATATTGTTATTACATGGCATTTTAGAAACCTTTTGAATCGGAACAAAACGAAATTTACCATCAATATAATAAAATTGTTTAAGGACATAAATAGTTAAAATATGTTGTTGGCCAAATGAACACAATATACATTTTCTACACATTATATACAAATTATTATAATTTTTTACCTTTAGCAGAAAACTGTTTTAGGGATGCCTATGAAAGTAATTAAAATATATTTCCAGGCATATTTTTACATGTTCAACTAACTTCGGAAAGACTAGCATTTAATTTTTATTTAAAAACAGCTTTTTAAAAATAAATAAAAATTATTGTACAAAATAAATTTTACTAATTTTAATGTGAAAAAAATGTAACCCCCCTTGTTATCAAAATCACAATTCTCACCAAGCTCTGGTTATATTTGATTTGCACAAACTGTTTTCGGCAGATTACATTTTTATATGCAATATTATATGGATAAAAACTTATGTCCAAAATAGGTTGTTTTGTTTTTTAGTTTTTTCTATTTTTGAAGTTCTACGCCACTGGAAATAAAAATTAGACGAGAATGGTGTGAAAAATCTACTCCTATGGATAGTATAGCATTATATTTTTATTATCAAAATAATATAATTTTTTCAGTTTTTTATCTACGCCACTGGCAATCAAAATTTAGAAAATGATGAAAAAATTTCCCAAACATATATATAGACTGAAAACATTCTATTTTTGTAATTAAAAAGGCAAAAAGTATTGATTTTGTTTCAATTTTTGACTATACGCCACTGCAAATCAAAATTTAAGAAGTGACTAAAAAATTTGACAAAAATATATGAGCACAATCCATTTTTGTCATTAAAAACGCAAAGAATATTATAGATTTATTTTTCAGTTTTTTAAACTAAAAATTTTTACTTTTAAAAACTGAAAGTGAAGAATTTATCAAAAATATATCACTATGAATGAGAACATTCCATTTTTATCTTTAAAGAGGCAAAAAATGTTTTTGTTTTCAATTTTTGACTCCATTTTTGTTATTAAAAATGCGAAAAATATTGTTTTTTTCCCAGTTTTGACTTTCCATTTTTATCATTAAAAAAGCAATACATTTTTTTCTCATTTTTGACTAAATCAAAATTGAAAAAATTACTGAAAAATTTGTCAAAAATATATCACTATGAAAGAAAATTCCATTTTTGTAATAAAAAAATTTGATTTCTTTTTTCGCAAAGCCTCAAATTAATATGTGCATTAAGCGGTTAAAAAAAACATTAAGATCTTGTTTATTAATGGTATACATAGTGCCAAATTGTATAACTAAAATGGCATTTCGAAAATCATCTACCTTTTGAATCGGCTTAATCTGAATGAAAAAGTAAATTTTTACTACATTTTTGAATTTTCAATGAATTCACAACCATTACAAAACACGCCCTCAGAGACCTGTTTGGCGCCAATAAAAACTCGGGGAATCTGTGACAGTGCAGTAGACTGGAGAAAAAATTATAAATTTTTACTATTGAATTTTCATGTGAAATTGCCTTAGACACTTGGCATTCCTCCAAAGGCGACTGCACGATCGTTAACCCTCTTTATAGGTATGGTAGGATGGAGAACATTAATTTGAATAAAAAATGTAGGAGACACCATCTGCCTCCCCAGGCTTCTCACATTGTTGTACTAAATAGTACTCCAAAGTTTACCAAATTAAGTTGCTTCTAGATACAATTCCAGTCTAGCGAATAATAATATTCCATCCCATGTTCCTCACAAGTCTTTGATTCTGTGGGCTAGCCACTTAAGAGTGATTCCTTATACAATTAATACATTGTATTAAAAGCATAATAGTAACTTTTAAGAGAAAATCGATTGTAAATGAACATCTCGCTGTGAATGTTATGATTAAGTTTTTTTGTAACATGGGTCATGGCCAAACTTTGCAAATATATTTTTGTGCAAATATGACTGAAAGATTTTTTAATAGTCTATGAAAATTACAAGAAAACTAAAAACCTATAGATTTTAATTTTGAACATCTCGAAGTAAATCATTCTGTATATTTTGATTAAAAAAAATCATATTTAATTCAGACAAAAGAAATTTGGATACGCATATCAAATTATTGAGATTGCATGCATGAATTTAAAAAAATCATATATCATGGTATTTTTTTATAAATTATTTTCTTCATAAATTCTTTAATTAGTTATTATTTACAACAGTATTTTAATATCTACTAATTATGTCCATTAATGAATTTCATAAAACTGTCCTTGTATTTTTCCTGTGGATCAAATTTATTTTTAATTTTCTCCCAGTCCTCTGGTCGCTTTTTCATAATAAAAACGGAAGTTTTCCTTATTATATTTATTTGAGCTTCCGTACATTTTGCACAGTTAGTCGTTATGGCTTCAGGAACGTGATCTACAACAAAAATCATTGAATTAGTACATATAGCAATTCGTAGAAGGGCTAGAAGGTGAAAGGTACTATCTATGGTGCTAGCCTTTAGTAATATACAGGGTGTCTAAGTAATCGCTATTCACCGTTGACATAAAACCTGATTTTAATTGTGCACTTGTTGCGTGTCGTCATGATATTGTAGTATGCAAAATTCGCCTGTTTTGAATAGCCGCATATTTCTACAAGAGAAGTCCTCATGGCACAGTCCCCCCGTAAAATAGTCGCGTAGACCTGCTTACATAAAAAGAATTCGCAAAAAGCAACACATCAACAATTTTGCTAATTTTAACGCCATCTAGCGGCTAACCGAAGCAACTTGGTATGGATTTTTTTTCTTACCAGACTATGCAATTCTATTCATGCTATGCATGAACTAGAACATGCTCTATTCCATGCAACAAAATTGCATGGATTCTAGTTACTTTTATGAGGATTTATTGTTTATTATCAACCTAGTTGTTTTTGGCTGTTGTTGGTTGGTTGTTGTTAGTAATGCCACTAACAACGTTGAAGCCACTATTAAAGCTATGCAGCAATTTACTTTTAAATTTTCATCCATTACAATGTTTTGCTTGAATGACAATGACAATTTATTGATCAATTAATTCATGAAGTCGCTTCATCAAGAAATTGGAGATGTGTAATGCACCAAATCTGCTGTCAAATAACTTTATGAATTTATTTATCAAGTTCTTGACAAATTAGAACATATTCTAATTTTTGTCAATTTCTTCGTGAAGTTCGGAAATACCAACCCAACAGATTTCCAGCCTCAGATCAGTAATGAGGTTACGTTATTGGAATATGTAAATAACTGTGTGGCGTCGTACTAATTTTGTATTGTTTTTACTGATTTGTTACTTACAAAAACTAATATTTATATAATATGTGTCAAAACGGTACCGCTGTTGTACTATTACAATTAATGAGTGGAAAGGTGACATTTTTGAAATTTATTTACTTCTTTGATTTGTTGGTAGAGCTGATTCATGCGTCAAAAAACTTGACAAAGTCTGTAGCAGTGTAAAACCACACTGTTTACCAATAAATTCGTGAATTAATTCATGAAGAACTTCGTCAATTTATTCATCAATAAATTGTCAATGTAAAACAGCTAATTATTTATATATTATATATTCTACTGCTGCAGTAGTAGGGATTTCTCCCAAATCATTGAGGGGGCAAACATCTATCGAAAAATCCCCCCCCCCCCCCTAAATGAAAAACCCAGAGAGATTGCGAATTCAGTTAAACTCTAACATAGGTAACTATTTCTAACTAACCTTTGACGCAAAGGTAGTTTAACAAGATTTAATTTTTTAAGAGCACAAAAATCTCAATAAATAGAGTAAAACAAATGCCTATATACAAATTTACTATTATTTATTTATATATTATTATCTGTATAGGTACTGATCTGTATTTAGATACCTTCTACTTCTCACATAAATAAGTAATTTAAAGTCTATTATGTATCTGCATTCCATTTAGGGGGTTAGACCTAATTATTGACTTAACTTCCCTTTTAAGACTTTTTCTTAGTGTAATGGAACGTGGTTTACATTTAAAATTGAATGGTAATACAACGTATTCAAAGACGTGTACTTATAAAGTTGTGTCTGAATTAAATTGAGGAAGCGGTAGTTAAATATAATTGATATAACAATAAGGATCCATTTACATGTAAATACAGGGTGTAGTGGCACTAGTAGCGATGTTGTGAGTAAGTTTTTTCATTGGTCCAAACAAAAAAAAAATAATCATCGAAACTTTTTTCGGAAATAAACGATTTATAATGGTTAGGTATATGATTTTCGACAATTGAAAGTAAAGCACGTTTTTGATAAATTGCTCAAGAATCATTGAAGACTACAATTTGGAACATGCAGTTCCTTTATTTTCACGTAAAAAAAACCGTCTTAGCAAAAGCTAGTCAGTGGCGTCAGAACAAGGACGATTTTTAATCGTCAATAAAAAAATATAAAAATATATTTTACAAGAGAATCTTCATTTACAAATTTCGATAGACTATTTCCAATCAAAATTTTTGTATGGCTTGAGTGTACGAAATTGAAACACAGTTTACGAATAAAACTCCTAGAACTATAACCGCCAGCAACGGATAAAAGTCAATCACTGTCTCTAATTTATTTACAATTAGAGGTGGGGTTACCTTTCAATCAAATAATTCATTACGAATCTGTGTAAAACTTTGATTTATTCTGATTTTAACTTCAGGCCCACCACTAACAATGGGTCTAACTTTGTCATAGTTTTTGAATTCTTAACCGTAAATTCAGTGGCGGTCTGTACGGGGGGCTCTGGGGCGGTGCCTCCCCTAGAATTTTTCTTTTCATAGTAAAAACAAATAATTTAAAATTAATTGGATAATTAAATAGATTCGCCTTAAGCAACATATTAAAAAGGAAATGTTAAATTTGTAATGTTCAGTAAATTTTCAAAATTCGTTTAAAAAACTGAATACGTAGCTCGCTCCTACATCTGTAAAGTGTTTCAACGGTGGTTATGATTACCTTCGCGCAGCAGTGACGGAGTTGAATTAGCACATATTTACTATGCAGTTTGGACAATGTTTAGTCCGACCGTAACCAAATAGTAGCTATTCACGTTTTTTTTCCTTATAAATCGTAATTTGTTCAGGTGTGGTGTAAATTTTTGTTACTTACGTATTGCTTTTTGTGTGTTTTTTTTTTTAAAGATTGTAAAAGTTTAAATTGATTGTAAAGACAGACTAACAGTAATAACAGTAATCTATTGAAAAATAAATGGTGCTAGAAGTACCAAACTTTAATGGGAAAGTACCTAATTGAAAAGTTTATTTCGGACAAAAGAAGAAGAATGGACTTAAAAAATAATGTTGAACACATTTTCTCTAAATTTCAATAGTTTTTAAAATAAAACTGCCCAATTATAGAGTGTGTCCACGGATGGAGTTGATAAGAGGAGAAACTTTTGTTTTTGACTTTTTCGAAAAATGTCACTCTTTATAAAAAGTTCTGCCTCTCTGTCATACAAACATCTAAATATACAGGGTGTTCATAAATTAAAAAAAGAACACGAAAATACTCAAGAGCGAAGTACCATTATTTATTATTTTACACAGCATTTTTACAAAACAAATCTGTTTATAATCTCTAATAATGTCCTAATACAAATTTTAAAATGAAAATTTCAATTTTGACTTTTACTCTATATAGCTTTACGAATAGTTTGAGGCCCATTTAATTCATTTATTCCTTCTCGTATGCGCTCTTTTGATACTTCCCTATCATGTGGCAAAGTGTACGAAAAATTTATTAAGTTAGCAGAAAAATGTGTTGAGGTGGGAGGTAGCGCTATGTAGAGTAAAAGTCAAAATTGAAATTTTGATTTTTAAATTTGTATTAGGACATTATTTGAGTCTATAAACAGATCTGTTTCATAAAAATGTTGTGTAAAATAATGAATGGTAACTCTCTAGAGTATTTTCGTGTTTTTTTTTTAATTTATGAGCATCCTGTATATCTAATCTAAGATGTTTGTACGACAATCTCATTTTTTCGAGTGGCTGAACTTTTTATAAAGATTGACATTTTTCGATAAAGTCAAGAACAAAAAAGTTTGTCCTCTTGTCAACTCCATCCGTGTATATTATATTTAATTTCTTTTTTTTTTTCAATACTGTGTATATAAATTCTTCGGCCCTCTCTGGTACGGAAGTCAAGAACCGTCTCTGCGTAAATTGTGTATTATATCAAAAGAAAACCTTAAGAGACACACTTTAATTGTAATATCAACCAAAATCTATTCGTTTTCCATGAAATTTGTCCAAATCTGTCATATCAAATATGTGTATGATAAACACAACCTCAAAATGAAAAATATATTCTGCACAAATTTATTTCATTAAACATTATTCGATTTGTTTTTGATATATTTGTTATTGATAGTACATATTTATATCCGAATTCACTGAGTTTCTTCATTTAACTAATATATAAATTAGTAGCTTAAGTTTCATCACTGTACAAATTTTTAGGGAAGTTTTTTTAAAATGTCATTTCAAAATCATTTGCGAACGCATATTAGGCCAACCAATACAGCGAAAAAAGAGGCTGTTTTTACACTTAAATATTACAGCAAATTACATGTATTTCCTTTTAAAAAATTCTTAGTAAATGGAAACCCAAGTGATTTCCCCAGCAAAGTCGTAAATTTTTTTTAAACAATAAAAACTGCAAAAAATGACATTTCTTGTGTTTTTTTTATAATATCTCGAAAAATAATGATGCAGTCGTTTTACTCTCAATAGGACTTTTGTAGAGAATAAAAAAACCTATAAAATTATCGGTTAATTTTTTATAAAGAAAATCCGGAAAAACCTCTAATATAGACCGTTTTTCAAAAATTCATAACCGTCAAAATTGAAGCAAAATTGAAAACAATCTTGCGGAAAATTATAGATAATAATATGTAGTTTAATCGTGCGCAAGATGGTTTCTGTCCGATGCATAGTTTTTGAATAATTGCATTATAAACAAATTAGGGTATTTTCCTGCTTCCCCCATTACCGCTATCCGACTCTGGCTCGAGCGTACTTTCGATCGTTTCCGGCGACTTTCAGGGGCATTTTTAGCATATTTCCCATCACCCAGGAGAAAATCCGAGATATATAAATTGGAGATTTTGTCGTCTACTTTCAGATGCCGTTTTCAGAATTTAAATCGGGCCATTTTTGATAAATCGCCACGCTGTGCAAAAAAAGAAAATTGTTTATAATGCAATTGTGCAAAAACTATGCATCGGACAGAAACCATCTTGCGCACGATTAAACTACATATTATTATCCGCAAGATTGTTTTTCCAGCTTTAAATTTGACGGTGTGATGAATTTTTGAAAAAGGGTTTATTTTAGCAGTTTTTATTGTTTTAAAAAAAAATTGCTCACGACTTAGCTGGGGAAATTACTTGGGTTTTCATTTATTAAGTATTTTTCAATAGGTAATACATGAAATTTGCTGTAATATTTAAGTGTGCCAAAAAATCTCTATTGGTTGGCCTATCTATATAACCTTTTTGGTTAAAAAGTTGTAGACGTTAAGACTCTATATATTTGGTGAACATAACGTCAAAACGAAAAATATATTTAGGGCAAATTTCGCTGAACTTATTGCAGGAGCTTTACACATCTGAGGTAGAAAGAGCTACAATTTAACGTCAAAAGCGTCATTTTGCTGCTATGGGTTAGATACAGGAAACAACTTGAAATTGTTTTTAATTTTCTTCTCAAAACATTTATTTTAGTATCTTTGAGAGTTGTGGATTTGGGACAATTAACAAAAACTTCTTCGCAAAATTTGCTGATTACATTCATACTCACGACTATTCTGCCTTCATTAAATCAAGACTAATAAAATAAAAAAATTAATGAAGGTCATGAAAGTAGAAGTTTGCATGGCTACTATACCTTATGTGATGGAAACGTTTTATGTTTACTGCTTTCCCATTATAGACTATTAGCCTTGAGGAAGACTAAATATATACATACTCGAAACGTCAACAATTTTGCGAAATAAGGAGTTTTTGTTAATCGTTCTAAACCTACAACTCTTGAGAGAAGCTATTACAATTAAGAACACAATCACTATAATATGAAAATGACTAAAATAACAATTTTTTTTTACTTAACCATTGAAAGCTTTGACTAACAACTTTTTCTGTAGATTTTGATTTCCTTTATTGATGTAATTATTTGTATGTTTAGCCTTGTCAACCAAAAAAGATTATTTTTTAAAACAGGGTTTTGATATAACGGATATTAATGTGCATGTATTGAAAAAATCAATAATTTGTTTATTAAGCTTTATTATAAACGTCTGTACTTTATTTGGTCTTATTATTATTTTTTTAAACAAGTTGATGTTTAGTAGATTCAAGTTTACATAACATTCTCTAAAAATTTCCTGATTATAATTATTATGAAAAAAACATTTCAATGAATTATTAAACAAACTGTGGAGTTTATACTAAACTGTAAAATGTATGTTACGAAGGCAAAAATATAAAATAATAAATACAGTTTTTGTTATAGGCCCCTTATCTCTTTTATTTTTATATAAAGAAAAAGACTGGTATTGACCAAAATTTCTGGAAACTTACATGTAATTTCAAAATAAAGCTAAGAAGAATAAAAACAATTGAAATTTATTGTTTTGGAAATATGAACCAAACTTTCCTGAATCTTTTATCCGTTCCGTTCCATTTTCTTCCGAGTATAAAAATGAAACATAATTTGTATCTATCTATATATTTTAAACAAATGAAGTTTTTAGTTTCCCAGCTAACAAAAATAACTCACCTCTAAATTCTCTTCCGTCAGGAGTACAAGGTCCTTGATCCAAAATGCACTTAATGTAATTATTTAAAACCCTTTTATTAGACAAAATCCTATCTATGTCTATATGGTCGTACTTGTTACTATATTTTTGTCCAATTACAGAAGATATGCAAATCAGACAAACCAGACCACTAAAAAAATACATTTTGAAACTACCAACCCAGAAGGTACTGTAACAATGACGGCGTTTCAACAGAAATACATTTATATAGCAGTCACATTCTTCACCGACTAATATGAATATTGAGCCATCATTGATTCTTATTTTAGTGAGCATTTGTCATATATTTATGGGCGATCTTGATAAGTGGGTAATTGTTCAAGGGAATACGGAGTGGTGAATCGTGATCTTCATACGAATTATGTATTAACACGTCGTCGTTATGCGTTTATCTATCTTCCACTATTCTGTTAGAGAAAATAAAGTTTAAAGCGACATTGAAATGGAAATATATTTATTACTTTTTAATTGTCTTTAATGCCTTTGGATAATTATTTTTAAGAAAATGGTGATATCTGATTTAAAATATTCCTAATAGGAATATAATGGTCAGTGTTAATGTGTAACAATATTATATTACAAAGATATGCTTATCTTAAGAGTCTAATACTAAAATTAGGCAATTATCGCATCTGCTAGAATTATTCGTTACATCATTTATATTTATCATTCATTTATATTATTGATAGGTTGGTTGAGAGTTCAGGAGAGCTGATCTCTCGCTGGGGGGATGCACAAGTGACCAATGGGACCTAAGTGCTGTAACTCAGTATACTGAATTACTCTCTAAATTATTCCAAAATGCAGAATCCAGAATCATTTATAATGCAAGACTCTTCTTGGTTACATACTACATAAGTCCACATTTTTCATTTCTTGGCTTCATATTTAGTTTTGATTTTATTCCCCGAATCAAAAAGGTAGATAGATTGAATGTGATTGTGAAAGAGGATTCAGTATATTATACTCGTAAGCTTGAGGTATAGTAAACTATTCCTAGAAATACCTACTGTTAAATTTAATCCCTATAATCCCTGAGTATAATTATTTTCTATTAAGCCATGATGAGCTCAAGTGACTGTAAGTCCTGAAGTTAATAAAATTAATGTATTTAGTGAAGAGAATTCAGTTGGAACAAATGTTCGTATGATTTCGACAAGTAGCGGAAAAATTCCATTGTTGCATTTGGAACAATTTGTGTTCATTGTATCGAGCAGGATCCCTGATACACGAGTATAAATAAAATGAAATAAGTATTTTGATTGAAAAAAGTTGTTAAGAGTTTTCCACATTTTCTGAACTTCATATTCGATAAAAAAAATTTGACCACCCTGTATAAAAACTGTAAAATTTTCATGTCATATTTGATAAATTAGGTCTTCCTCTACAAAACGTCTTATTTATACAAAAAAAAATAAATCTATGTTTCCGGGAAAACTAAATTTTGCTGAAAGTCTGCATTTGTCAATTTTTGCTTAAAAATCAAAATATCTCGGAAACGGTCAATCCTAAGTATGGAGTGTTCTATAAGTTTTCAACTTAAAAATGGATGCTCTTTCAAAAAATGCAATAATATACAGGGTGTTCCATTTAAAATAAGAAAGTATCGACTTCCGATATAACCGGAAGTACGATGACCTTGAAAATATTTTAGCTTGGTAGGCCCCACAGTCCGTATCACACCATCACAATTTCAAAAAAATCCTTATAGCGGTTTCCCAGGTATCCATCGATGGAGGGTGGGACACCCTGTATAGGTGCTTTTATACAGGGTGTTAATGATAAGTTTTGCCAAACTTTAATGGCGTATTTTACCGATGAAAATAATCAAGTTTTGCCCAATAAAAATTTTTTATAGAACGCTTCCCTACGGAGATACAGGGTGTTCAAAGTTTCAAATATTTATATGATTTTTCCTGTAACTTCACTGGCATAAAAGATTGAGTGATAAAATTTGGAGGATGACATTTTTTTAGTAGGTGCGGCTATCGACCGATTCAATTATAATTGAATACCATATATATATATTTTTTATTAAAATCTGTTTTTAGTTGTATGAAAAATAACAAACTTTTAGCAACACACAAAACAGTGGCGGTGTATAGTATTTTGAAATCTCTCAAAATTCAATTTATTGTTATACATTTAGTAATCAATAGAAAAACATAAATAGCAACATAGGTAGGTATACCTACTTAAGTATCTTCTTATTTAATTTCCCAATTATCTAAGACTAGTAAATTTTACTAACACTTTACAAGAATACTTTATTGCCACAAATTGATTGTACATTTTAAAAACATTTAAAATTATTTAAAAAAGCAGTGGGTACAATTTTTTTTCAAAAAGGACTGACCCCAATGACTGGAGTGTATTTTGGAATAAGACAAATATTTGAAACTTTTAACACCCTCTAACTCCGCAGGGAAGCTACCTATCAAAATTTTTAGTAGTATAGGGCAAGAATTGATTATTTTCATCGGTAGAATACGCCATTAAAGTTTGGCAGAACTTATTATTTACACCCTGTATAAAGATAGAAAGCTTTTTTACATGTTTCTATTATATCTATACTAAATGCTGATAGTATATTCTTCATTTTGGTAAAGGTATCATTAATTTAAAGAAGTTCAATGAAATGCAAATCAGGCAATTTGAAAAACCCACTTATTTAGTTATTAAAGTGGTGAAAAATAAATAATTACATTATAAGTGAATTAGAAAACCTCTTTTATTATGCCTTAAGTGATTTAAAGTTACTAATTTAAAGCCCGGTGGAAAGATTTTAAATTTTAATAATGATGACGATTGGGAAGAGAATTCTATTAAGAAATAGAGATATTGCTTCCAGCTATTTATTTGGCATACCTTAAGGTTTTTCGCTGTTTATTTCGGTATTTTGCCTCATGTGGAAAAAACACACTAGATAACACACTTCAGTGTGTTAGTACTATGGACTGCGTTTCTATTTACATTCTTTTTTCAAAAGGTAGGAATGATGTAATATTTTAAATCTACAATTTGCCTTAATTCAAATCATATTTAAAAATTTTCCTGGCCGTTTTTCTCCATCTGCGTATATATAAACTTTTCTCTTGTTTCTTCTAACCTATTCATAAACTATGCATAGAGGTTACGATTAACTTTGATATACAGGGTGTTACAAGTTTGACTGCCTTAATTTTAGCAGACGATAGAATACATTAAAATAAACAAAAAAACCTTATATAACATGGGTCCTAAACCATAGAAAATATTGTACTAACGTAGAATGAAATCTAACATATGAATAATGAAACTGTCATGGCGGCGTCTCATGTTAGTTAGCTTCCAAAATAATATATGGCGTAGAGAATGCTAACCCTGTCATTTTGGGTTGGTTGGTAATGCAGTTTAGACTTTGCACGTATTTGAAGTTTGGCTTTCGTTATCTTTGATTTCTTTGGTTATCCTCTGAAAATTGTGAATTATAGTATTGCAAGAATTGTGTTTATAATTATTTAGTGCGTAAGAGTTTTCTATTTGTTATTATATTATACTGGGAATATGATGTGTAAGTTTTAAGCTATATAGTTTTATTAAAAACCAAACCCATACCTTTACCAACTTTACCAACATTATGTGGAACACTCATACTCATGTTACTTATATTAATCGATTAGAAGCAATCCACATAAAATATGTAATTACATATTATTTCAGTTAAATATTGATAAAAATAATTATGTGTATGATGATAAACTCCAACTAATATTTTATGAAACCTTTGATACTTAGATGCTTACAAAATTTTTAATGGTGGTGAATTGCTTTCTTTATTCAGTTTGAGACATAGAAATATAGTGTTAATATAAAGTTTTCTATGGTTTGAAAGTTCCAAACTATATGAACTATTGAATTTAACCCAATATTGTACAAATATTCGGTTATACTGTCCGGAAAGTGAGATTATTATAACAGTTCCTGCATAATTTTAATATTTTTACAGCTTACTTGCCATAAATCAATTAGGATTTCTTGTAGATACAAAATAAACTTAAAATTATTAAAACATGTTTTATTTCCTTATTAAAACCATTTACTAAGTATATCTTGGCAAATGTCAAAATTTGAAAAATACTTATAATATAATAAAATAGTAAATAAGAAGAAATTGTCTGTATTTATTTGTGGCATTATAAATGTTTGTTATAATTTGGATATTTTGCCCTAGTTTGAAGAAAAAAAAACTGGAAAAATAAACCCTTGTACCGATAGGGACAGTCAAGTGTCAATACTGAAAACTTTTATAATTTGGATATTTTGCCCTAGTTTGAAGAAAAAAAAACTGGAAAAATAAACCCTTGTACCGATAGGGACAGTCAAGTGTCAATACTGAAAACTTTTGCCTAATAGTGAGATGCCAGAGACATACATCTACATGTATAAGTCTGGTTACGCACTGAAAAAACAAATACACATCACAATAACACTATGACGTTTCTGAAACCTCTAGTTTCGTTATCAAAGCAGAAGTGAATTAGAAAAGTCCTGAATATTAGTTTTTCGCTACATTTTCTGTTTAACTAAATAATCTGTTCTCAAAAGTATCGACACTTGACTATTCCTATTTGTATAAAGGTTTACTTTTAAAATTTTTAAAATAATAAATAGAGGTAGAGGTGAGAAGTCGTTTGCATACGATAGATGGCGCCGTAATCAGTTCACAAAGTATAAAGTGTTGCCTACTCATTAGGAGCTAAGTAGTAGTAAGCTTCCAAAACGTTATGGCGCTGTTTCGCGGTTTATTGGCAATATTAGGGACATTTCATTCTACGTTAGTACTATATTTTCTATGGTCCTAAACTCAACAATTTCCTTGATGTACAAGAGTTCGATTAATTAAAGAATATTGACATAGCTGCGTGCAGAGAATACCATAAAATACAAGGTTTATCACTTTTTTGAATTTCTTTATGCTTAATTCTAAAAAATAATTAGCGTTGTAATAAATTTAAAAATCGATAAAATTAATATCGAGCAATGTGACAACGGCTCGGCGGTTTATTAACACGAGGTACTAAGGTGCAGCAACCATACGCAATTCAGTTGGTATCTGGATTCGACCGTGTCGGAGTGTTTTTTGCGTACCACTATTTCCTTTTCTTGAGCGAAAATTTGAACCGAAGGTATCGTGCGTGCATCGAAAATGGTGATGAACATTTTGAGCATATGTTGTAGTTTGTTTTGTACTTGTGCGTTTAAAAATTACTGAATTTTGCTTTTTGGTAACTACCTAAATTATTTTTAAAAAGTAGGATTATTTGGATGACGTGAATCTTTGGGTACTTTAATTGCATATTTGATTAAAAGTTAAGTTCCTGTTTTAAGAGATTCATAATTACTAAAATTCGAACTAAAAATTAAGCACAACACTATCTTCATACTATAAAATCGATACATTTTATTTTATTTTATTTATTTAAAAACTGGAAACAATTGTCTTGAAATTTACTAAATGTTTCACAATAATAGCTGTTTACATTTTTTCCGTAGAACAAGTCTGCTGCGTGTACACAAAACTGTTAATCTTACGCCCCCGTAATATACAACTTCTTTGTTAATTTATGATTACTGTATCTCTTGCTGAAATTATGACGGTAAAACTTCTTATACCTTGTATACGAAGAAATAAATGTGGACGCGTATGTTTATAGCAAAATGTTTTTATTATAAAAGTGAACTATGTTAGACATATCAGCATCTTCAAGAATTACTTTTTATCTTTTATTCTTCAGCTACTCATCTGGGAACATATTTAGCTTTAATCTCATCCCATAAGTCGACTTTGTTATCCATTAAATAACGAACAATTGTTTTTCCTATATTTCTCTGTGCCTCGGTGCATGTCTTGCAGTTCGTCTTAATCGTATCTAGTACAATTCCTGATGAAAGAGAAATGTACATAATAAATTACATAAATGTATTGATAAATAATTACAGACTAACACAAATAAGTTTGAGTTTCTGATTCACGGAAAACCGCGCGAGGTTGAGAAAGAACGCATTCGGCTAAAGGGAATAAGACGCAGGCGCGGCAATTTGGAATAGCAGATTAACAAATTCATTTCTTTACTAGTATTGTGGTTTTCTAATTTGACAACTATTGACTACATCGAAAGCATATAGAATGGAATCTCTAGTCTTGAGTTTGTTTATTTATTGATGGAAATAGAAAATAACATGATAACTGTCGAATTTCTAAAAAATGTCAATGTGGTGTCAGTCATACGATACGGTAAATACCTTTGGACTGTGGGTATGTCTTATGGTTGTGGATAAGATAAAAAAGCATAGATAAATGTCAGATATAACTGTTCGTTCGAAATGTTATTTTCTAAAATGTGAGTCGAAGGAATTTTCTAAAAATGTGATGTGTAAGATATATATTTTCCTATGAACGAAAAGCTTCAGATTAAAATTTCAAATGTATCGACAAGAAATGTACAAATTTTTGTTTGTTGTTAAGAAAAACTGTCGTGTCTCTGCAACCACAAGGGAATCCCTGCTATAGAATTCTTAAAATTCAATATTTAAATAAATAAAAAATGATCTAATGTTTATTTTTCTATATATGTTGAAAAATGATACTCACCTTTCAGTAATTCCCCACCTTTACTGCATTTGTCTTTATCTAGAAAACAGTTCATGTAATTATCGAATACTGTTCTGCTCTTTATTATATCATTTAGATTAAAGTTATCAAAGTTTGGAATATGATCTTCAAGTCCAAGAGCGTATACGGACTGAAAAAGAGCACAAATAACGATGACAGCAAATGAGTTCATTATTACACTAGTTGATTTTTCTTGTAGAACTATATCTACCGCCATGGAAACCATTTGTAGTGATTTATATTAGGTTGATGTTCTAACTGAATTCAAATTATACAGGGTGGGCCACCAGTAACGCCTCGGTGGCTAGGGACCAAACGGCAAATGTTATAGAAACCTGTAAAGGTGGGTATGTGTAGGTTGATTACGGCTACATTTTAAAAATATTTTTATATATACAGGGTGTCCAGAAATAGCGCACCATATCAAAGTTATGTATTTTTAAATGGAACACCCTGTATTTTACTGCATTTTTGAAAGCATCGTTAAAAAATAGGTGAACATTATTAAAGGTTCTGCATACCTAGGACTTATTGTTTGTGAGAAATTTCAATTTTAGTGAAAATGCATAGATGCGGCATGAGAAATGGAGTCAACATCGTAAAAAATATCGTAAAATTTCTAAAATCCTTAGTTTCCGAGAAAAAAATTATTGAAGTTGTAGTACATTCAACCACTACATAGCTGGACAACTGTAGTCTCTAGCGTCATTTGCAATAGGCGTAGAGAACAATAGGCGTAGAGAACCACGTGTCCTCAGCGATTCCGAATACTGAAATCCGACTTTACAATCGTCGCTGTCATGGTGTTTACAGTAGTTTTTTTATTAGTTAGTGTCAAAAATAGCTTGGGTGTATAGCAACTAGGAGTTGATGGATATCGTTTTAATTTATGAAGCAAGACAACATTTGTATTATGGTGAAGCATTTGTGTTATGGCGGAATAAGACAACATTTGTATTAGTTTGTAGAAACTGAGTAAGACGGACCCATATGTGTTCCACGTCGGTAGACAAAATTTTTAACAGTTGTTGTAACATCAGAGGTATGTCAAATTATTTTATTATTTAAAACCACAAATTAATTTTATTAATTAATAATAATAAAAGCGACAAAAGCAGTTGAATTTCCTGATATAAAATAGGGGCTATAAAAATCTATTTATTTCTTTCCTTGCGAAATTCATCAAGCTTTTGTCCGTTTTTATCACACTTTGCCACCATGCTCACATTGTTTGAGGTCAGATTTTACAGTGGACCAGTTTCTAGTGCTGTGCAGAAGTTTATTTTTAAATCATTTTCGAACTGCCCTTTTTTTTGGATAAGTTCTAAATTACCCTATATTTGCAATATATTTTTTTTCTGAAAATATTATTAAATGGCATTGATATGTATTTCTTTAGCTGCATGAACATGACATTACTTTTGTAAGCCATATTCAAAACCGAAATATTACTCACTACTTTTTGGATACTTTATATGCATAAACGTCTCCCTTGAGGCCTTCGTTTTTGAGATATAGCATGTTGAGTTTCTCGAAAAAAGTATTATATTTCAAAATATAACACATGAATAAAGTGATATTCAACGTCAGGAAATTAAGACTCAAACTATGGACATGAGATTTGTTCATATTTTCCTGAAAAATTCGTCTCTGGAGAAGAATATTTTAACATTTTTGAAACGCTAATTTTATTATGAAAAAAATCTCACTTTTTACCTATGTAATTTAAAAAAATGTGTTTAAAATAGCGTCGCTGTATCTCAGCACACTTTTCGATATATGTTTAAATTTTTTATACATGAACACCCTGTAGGTACAGGGTGTTAAAGTGTGGAAAATATTGTTGCTATAAGAACCTGCACTTCAGGGGTTAATGTGTGTCCCGTTCATGTTTCAAAAAAATTAATTTTCCTCATCGAAAAATAATAGGGGTAGTTCATGTAAAGTTTTTTTCTGAGACACTCTATTTTCGAGATACAGTGTGTTGAAGTGGATACTTTCCAAATGTTTTTTATTAATTATCTTTACATCGGCTAAAGATAAAAATGTCAAAATTTGTACACGTGTAAACATCAACTATGCGTTAAGAATAATGTGCAAACGGTTTCTTTCTGAAAAGCAGTGTCGCCGATACAGGTAATTGGAGGGGTACAATCGAAAAGAAAATATGTTAAAAGTCAAAATTTATTACATTTCTAAACGGTTCTGTAAACTCTAAAGCATACTACAAAAAAAAAGGTATACTTCAACACACTGTACCTATCTCGAAAACAGGGTGTCTAAGAAAAAACTTTACATGAACTACCCCTATTATTTTCCCATGAGGAACTTGCAGATAATTTTTTTTTTTGAAACATGAACGGGACACCCTGTATATCAAATATATGTAATGTATAACTATTCTTCAGTTTTTACGGGGAAAGCTCTCTCATGTTTTGATACAATGTTATGTACCTAATATCCTGTATAACTATAAATTATACCAAACCTATCATCTTTACAAATTATTGATTTGCAATAAAACAGTAGAAGCTGTGTAAAAGCTAAAATGTGCTATTTTTGTACAAAATAAAATTTACAAGTTACAAAAAATTGTTTTTTTCGGTGCTATAGTTATCGATGAAAGGAAAGTTTCATATAAGAAAATATTTTTGATTTTGGCATGTTGGTTATAAATAAAACACTTGACCAAACTTTTACTTTTTAAAGGCTAATCATATAAACCAAATTTACAAAAAAAGTTCATACAAACATTTGTCCGGAAACGCTTTTATACGATATACCTACGGGCTGTTTAAAATTAACGCTTTATATCAAGTTACAAAAACATTTGAGAAAAACAATATAATAATACTTAATTTTATTTATACATAACGTGATTGCTCGAATAATAATTATTATTTTTATTTTAAAAATTGTATAATCTTACACCTGACTTTTTAGTATTAATTACATAGACAAGGTCAAACATTTTATGATTTATCGCGAAAACGGTGAATGCTAGCAATATGCAATAAAACATTTTTGGGAACTCTTCAATACTGTGTCATAATTGCAGTTCAAATTTGAAATAGGTTTAGAAAAAAATACGACCAAAAATTACTGTGCACACCTCCGACACCTACCTTTGTATGTAGCAAACCTGTGTTATCGTTATACTTTTATAGATAATCAAATTTTAAAGCTACTTGCTAAATTTGGATTAATTCGCTTTAGTTGTTTTTTTATTAGAAACAAATCGAACTGTTCTCAAATATTAACACCCTGTATCTCAAGAACCAAGCATTTACAAACATATCTACAGGAACGTTTTTTGTTGATTTGTTATGTAGAATCCGAAATTATAATTTGGCCAAATACGTTAATTACACCCTTAAGTTATAGAAATTTCAACGAAATTTGGTTTGAAAGTGTTTTTTTTTTTTGAGGTAGCCAAATATGAATATTAACTTATTTTTTACTTAAAACTAGATAACACTTGAAACAATCAACGCTCTTTTGTTTCTTTGCCATATTTTTTTTAGTAGGTATTTTGAGAAAACTCAGGTATTTTTTGAAAGGTGCTTTTATTTCTTTTCAAGAAGTTATCACTAAAATGCACAGTTTCGGAGAAAAATGGATTACAATTGGTCAATGTCTATTTATTAGTAATCTACAATTAGGCCAATTAACGTTTATATTCAGTAAAACCTTAAATCAGAGCTAATCGTGTCAAACCGACACCGGATTCGGATTCGCCGATCCCAAAAACGTGTAGATACGTAGGTTTAGTTTGTTGACAATTGATTTTCTACATTTGACCTTGAACTGACCTTCAACCAGAGCTAGTCGTGTCAAACGGACACCGGATTCGGATTCAGCGACCCCAAAACCATATGGATACCATGGTCTTGTCTTTTAGACCTGGCACTTTTTTTTGTGGGGCTGTGTAATCTTTCACTGTTAATATTTCTATTGAAATCAACTTGGATAAAATCTCTATTATGTCTAGCAAATTGAACGCAATGATCCAATACCTCATAAATATATCATAAAAAGTTTGACATGTTACATTTACTCCATCTGATATTTTTCAGCAATATAATTTTACAAAATAAAGTTTTTGTAATTATATTAAAGATTATTTGTTTTAGTTTTTTTACACTTGATAACAGTAAAATGTTAATTATCAAAATAAAGTTGGTTGATTAATATTTTCTTCAACTAAAGGAAGATTACATTGTTGTACATAAATATGGTCGTAATTACTTAGCGCTATACACTATACAATATACATTTCTATCAGAAGATGCCTTAGTTTGAATCGTACGGGGGTTGTGCGATCCAAGAAGTCGCTCGCCAGTTCCACCATGACGGGGATGGTGCATTTTAGCATACTGGGTTTTCTCAAAAACCTTTATCTATAAAAAGATGCAGTAAAAAGAAAGATGACTGTTTAGGATATTCTTAGAGACTTCAGGTATAAATTATGCTCATATTCATATTCGACTACCCTAAAAAAACCGTCTCTACACTAATTTCATTGAATCAACTTAAAAATAACCGAGTGATCTTAAACAATTAAATAAATTGTTTTTTTATGTGCCATAACATTTTAAGGAAGTAAAACTGTAAGGTGACTTAATCTACATCGGTTTATTTTCACTCGAGGATACTAATCTTGAAGTGCGTATCATTTTTTCCAATCTAGTAACTGTAGACTGTAAACGAATCCCCAAGAAAACGTTTTTCATGACTCATGATCGTGGCGAAGCATCTTTCTAAAAATAACGCTTTTGATTAGGTATAAAGTATTGACCGTTGACCGTGAAATAGCTATACATTTTAATGGTCCAACCAACAAATAAAAAGCTTTTTAATAGCAAGAGTAAACGTATATAATTTCCTGGAAAGACAGGCATTGTCATAAAAATGAAATACAAATACAGTAGCCATATAATTAAGAGAACCAAATAGCCTGTCAGTAAAATCGGTAATTACTGTGTAATTAAATACTAAAAATTAATGAAACCGAAATTTGTTTATTTCTTAGCTGTAGCTAAGGCGCAGTTTTACAAATTTGGAAAGGTATATGCACTATCTAATCATACTATTTATTTAATTTAAAGTAAAAATTATAAATTCTCAATTATTATTGCCAAAGTATGAATTTAGGAGCAATAAATTTTACAATCAGGTATACAGGGTGATTCAGAACTTATCCAAAAAAAAAAAATCTGGATGTAC